ATGGCAAGTTCTAGAATTGGAAACGCCAGTCCTTCAGAATTCCGCCTTGTTTTAACGAAACTTACTGAAGTTCAAAAGAAATTGGACACAACAGATCAATCGTCAGTCATAGCGCAGCTGAGACAAGTGAACGATTCACTTCAAATCGTTGAGGGAAACCAGACCGATATTTCTGATGCCATCCTTAACAAGCTGCAGAGTATCGAGACGCGGATCGAGACCGGTTTCAAAGCCTTGGAGGAGAAGATTGCAGCTTTAGAAAGAAAAGTTGTGGACGGTCCTGCAATCTCAGAGGGAAGCGCTTTCGGAATGCTAACGCCACCAAGTTCTTCAAAGAAAAGAAAAATCGCCCGCCATCCAGATCTCTCGGTGAGTAATCTTAGTCGACAACATAAACGTTATTCTTAGTGCATGTTTCTTACGCAGCTTAGATTAATATGATGACTTGCTTTCAAAAATTTTGCGGCTTGCCAACCAAACTCGAGAGCTGGTTTTGAAATGCGCGCCATACAAATTTTCGATTTCTCACACCTATTGTTTTTCTTGCCCACAACCGCCTGTATATATGTTTGACAGACCGCTTGTGTCCTGTTTCAAAGGCGCCGAGGAATCTTTAATAATAATTTCTTCATTGTTCAGTTTGGAAATACATGGAACCCGCACTTTTAATACTAATGAACTGTTATCGTTCACAGCACTATGTTCGTTCAAAGATTGAACAGTTAGGCCTTGCATGGAACACTGACAAGAAGTAAGCCTAAGCTTAATAAATCATGTTTAAAGTTATATAATATAAGCTAATGTAGAAACAAAAAGTTGTTGAAAAGTAAAAAAAAATGTTTTTTGCTTGAAATGTCTTCCTTTGGATGCTCAAAGAAATTATTTGATGGTGAGCTAGCTGGCTGATTGTGTAGCTTGTTGTAGACATTTGGGGCTGAGCTCTTCATCAGTGGAAGTCAAAAGATGATATGTTGATGAGAAAGATCCCGGGCCATGAGAGACAGAAAGTAACTTTCTCAAAAAAACATCACCTGCTGATCAGACTTCCATTGTTGAATGGCTAAGCCCAAACATTTGGAACAAAAAATTTTTTAATCTGCACTTTATACTTGAGCACAAGAACTCTGTTTTATCCTGTTTTAACTCAAAAGTTATCTTTCTCAGTTAGATTTTCAGATTATTAATGGATGGGATTATTTCAATTTCTTACAGAGAGAATGAACCACCAAACCTAGCTGTAGTAGCCACCATCTTGAAAGAGGTCAAAGAAGTAGAGCAGATTCAAAATGATTCTCTTTGTACAGAAAGAAGAATTCTAGGTATGATTGAATGGGGATTGTTTAGCCAAATAAACACAACTTGTCTTTAACTTTGGGTTGAATTTTTTTGAGACAAGTGCCCCATCTTGCCCCTTGCTCACTACAACCCTGAAAACTGACAATCTTTTTCATATAACTTATTGTGGCGTACTTACCTTTCCTTTCAGATGCTATTTCTCAAAACTTTGCATCATCAAAGAAACGTAGACGACAGGAAGAAAATGGTACTTACGAGCATTATCAGAGGGAGCAAAAGAAGCGACAAAGAATTAAAAGGGTAAAAAAATTTGTTTGGCTCTTTAACACTTTATTATCTTATCAGCTTGTATGTTTGAGTAAATTTCAAAAGGTTTGAATTCAAGTTTGATCTAAAAACAGGGTAAGGTTCAAATTACACTGTAGATCTGCTCATAAAAAACATTTTATGCCGAGAACAACTCTGACCAGTGACACAAGGGCTCTATAAATGTTTTATTGTAGGAATTGCTTACCATTTGGTATTATAAAAACTTATTTCACATTTTCCCTTTTAGAAACTGGATAAGAGACTCAAAGTGGCAAGTGAAGAAGAGAAGAGACAACCAATTTTCGAGGCCCTGCATCCTAGTCTTGTCTCCTCAGACGAGTCTGATGAAGAAGACCCCACATCAATGGTAACAAGGCCCCTTACCTGGAGGACAGAAGAAGTTACCAACTTCTTCCATATGCTAGACCAGAGGTATAAGTCTTCCATGACGAATCAGCAAAAGAGGCAGTCAGTGAACAGAAGGGTTGGTAGACCAAGTCATAGAAATAGTAGAGAGATCCCAGAAAAATTGCTCTGGGCCACCACCTAAATTTAATTTTAATTTTAGTATACAGTCACTCAACTCTCTTCCCTAGGACCATCTCTTATAAAGTTGCTATATTTCTACCCAATTATACAGATGATGTAGGTCTACCATCTCCATTCTTTTATTCTGTCTGAATTTAGTTTTTAATTTGACAATTTGCTGATTTCAATTTTCTCACAAGAAACCAACTTAGTTGGCAAATGTGAAGTGAGACTTCTGTACAATCATGGTTGATTACAAGAGAGTTTGAAGACTGTAAACATATACATGTATAACATGTAATATTTTGAGCAATTTAAGTAATTGAGCAGCCTACATTTAAGTTATTGTCAGTGGATAGTGAAATCAGTTTCTTGAATATTTTGCCTTCCCTGACCACCATTTGGCACTTATGTCCAGGATTGAATGCAGGTGTTTTTTGGCAAACAATTCACATTGTATGAATAGATTTTTGAACATTATCACACTACATTATCACAGAATTGTGCATTTAAGTGAATTTTTATTAGTGAGAACAATTTATCATGCTCATTTCAAAGAGCCCAAAATCCTTGACATATCTGCTATTTTAGAGGTGGCTGCAATTTTCATTCTTCCTTTTAGAGTTCTCTTGTCCTCCATCAGATGGAGTACTCCAAGATTTTCTCAGTCCAAGTAAATATTTTCTCTTTAAGTTAATATTTTAGAAGTTTCAATGATTTTCAAATTTGGCTTAAACTGTTATAATTAATATATCAGAGTCAAAGATACATGCAGCCTTCACAGTTAAGGTTTAAGAAAATTCTGTGTTTGAATTGCAGCTAGTTGTATTTTTAGTCAATTAAATTTATTCTTCAGTTGCAATTTCAAACATTAGAAGTTTTTAAAATAGATCTAAGGTATAAAATTAAATGTAAGGTGGTATTGTCAGAATGTTGCCTTGATTCCCTCAGCACATGAAGTTCACATAATTATATTTTCTTCAAACCTTGACACTCATTTTTGCAAAATGTTTATAGTTTGTATATATAGACCCACACATAATTTTTCAGACAGTCATCCTTCCAATTTTATAATATCGGTTATACTGTACGGGTTAAGTTTTGCCTCTTGGCTTTAGAGAGAAAAAAATGTGTAAAGTGAAAGAAGGTTGCATTGTGCATTAATAAACTTGATAAGAATTATTAAAGGAGTGCTAATCCTGTCTGGGAGAGGGAAATAGGACAAAATGCTTTGAGGACCTGCAGTAGAGCTGAGTCCAGGAAGTGAAATTTAACGAACAGTAATTAACCGTGCGGCGGTAAACGCGGGAAAATGCATCCCTTGCACGAATTCACCGTTACAGAAAATACCGGAAAATGCATGCTTTCGACTGGTTAATACCAGTGAACATAACGTTGGAATGCGCAAAATGGCTGTAAATAGCAGAATACATGTTGTTTTCCATAGATTAACCGAACAACAATAAAAGGTAAAACGCCTGAAAATGCGTTTTCACGAAATTTCTCGAATTCACTATTGCGGAAAAACGTTGGAAAATGCATGCTTTCGACTGGATAATTCTTGTGAAAATTTCGTTCACCGGGCGTAAAATGGTTGCGAACAAAAGAAAACATGGCATTTTCTATGCGTTATACGAACTGCAAACTCTGGAAAACATTATGTTTTCCCGTATTTACACACATTAACCTTCCCGGAAAATGCGTGTTTTTCAGCTGTTAACTCCGGTGATTACGTTGTTGTTCACTCGGAAAATGCCAATGAACGAAAGGAAAACACGCTGTTTGCCATGTGTTAACCGAGCGGTTAATGCCGGAAAATGAATTGTTTACCTGCATTTACCGCGAAGAAAAACTACCGAATAATGGAACGAATACTGGGATTCACCGATGCGAAAACGCGCAGAAAACGTCGGATTTTCCGTAGGCAAAACACGGGTAAACGATAGTAAATTGCCACGTTTTCCGTAAATTCAACCTTCGTTTTCCGTACGGTAAACGCTTGTTTTTTTGCCGTGTTAGAGTGCCTAAAGAGAAATAAATCGACGAACACAAACTTAAAATTGCTACAGGGATTTAATGAAGTATAGGAAATGGCAAATGAAACATAAGAGATTTTGCACTGCCACGACTTAAAAGGTCAGATACACCCCCAGCAACGGGGAAAGTCCCTTTCTAAAGAACACATTTGAGCCTCGCACAGTTCAAACCCAAGTAAGAAGTTAACCTAAACATGAGCTGACTTTGGATATCTTACGGTGCCTAGATAGAAATGACTTAACGAACACAAATTTTAAAATGACGTCATATTCGAATTTATCCGATACAATAACGACAGTATCATGTTCCGATCTGAAAAAACAAGTTACCGCTTTCAAAGTCATGTGTTGTTCGGGTGACATGCGATGTCTTAGGTTCACACACTAGAACATATGAATTCAAACGAGTAAAGGAACGGTCATTCTTTACATTCTTTACTGCCAAGAAGGAGGGTGGGGGTAGGGTGTAAGGTCGGGTGTTTGCGTCACTAAAAAGTGCAGATTCATACTAATAAAACATTAGTTTCACGAAAATATATTACGTATCGTTTGCGTGAAATGTATCATTTTAACGTTTGTTTTTCCGACGGCAACCACTTAACCGGTGATGTACATTCAGCGTTATAGGACCACAGGGAGGGTTGATTATCATTCAGTCAACCGGTGCAGTTACAACTGCAACACATGGTTACGAAGAAGCAGGTCAGCTGTTTGTTTACATTCCACAGCAACTACACGTGAGTTGTATCTTGAAGAGGATTGAGGTTTTTTTCCTCATCATTATTGTCAATAATAATGATTTATCCTCTTTCAAAAAAAATATTTTATGCTGCCCCTTCTATGGTAGGATGCCGGTCCGGTAGCTTTCGGCATCTTATCAGGTTGTCCTGACACTTCTCTGTTACCCACACACACTCCTGGGTGGGGAAAAGTTTGGTGAGAGTCACTGTCCGGCCAAGAACCCAAAAATGATCCAGGTAGGGCTGAAACTCAGGCCTTTTCAGCATTCCCCCGTGAGACCTTTTTATAATGGTAATTGAAAGAGTGGAGGGCCATAGGGTCTGATATCGTCGTCACGTTTTAAAAATCAAGTAGACGCGCAAGTTTGATTTCAGAGAAAAATAGCATAACATGAGGTCTAATTGTACTACTTTATTTCATCCATTTTGAAAACACAAAATTAACTACCTAAATAGAGCATTGAAGTCAACACAAATATTCTATTAATCCAGCACTGTGCACAATTTTTAACAAAAGTGGCTTCCTTGTATTTCATTTTTCCGCAGTTTGATCAGTTACCTTTTTATATCGCCCCAGCTAGATATAACTTCTTTTTCCGTTCTCAGTAACCATCGTTAGAATATAGTCCATGCTTATTTGGGAGTTGTGTGAGGGTGTATATAGTGTAGTAAATACTGTAGTAAAGAGCACAAGGATTAAAATTGAATACCAGGCGGGATGAGGCAGTTCAGTCTTCTCAATAAAACAGTACGAGGAAAGGGTCTCTCTTCTGAGCTGTCACTTTAGAAACTTTGAAAAGTGGTACTCCAGTTTATCCTTCCCGTAAAGTGTGAAAATATTTAGCCTCTTTCGTTTCACAAGAGCTGAAAAGATTTGTGGAGGCTTGTTCAAATTTTTGTGGAGAAAAAAATATTTTGTCAGAATCCTCATTTGCTACGTTACAAATAGCCTTAAGTAACATCTAAAATCGATTGACATGTCATTACATATTATTTACGTTAAAAAATTATGCACAAAAGACCAATGCAAAACCACAAGTATTTTCATACCCAGTAGCTTTTCCTAAATTGTGTCTGGCAAACACTTTTGATGGAACTGACTGTTTGTAAAACAAAAAACTATATATTGAAAAAATCTACGTTTTTAGTATGCGGGATAAGTTATCAGCATTTTCCTCAGTGAACCTTAAACCACGTTCTTCCTCTTTTAGCGCGTTTTAAAATCGACTGACTTTGAGTCGATTAAATGTCTGAGCCCTTTCAGGTGAGCATCTCTTAGATTTGAGAAATTCCTCGATTTCTGTTTCATCGTTCACGCGAGCCAAGTCAGCTGCGTCCTTTCCATCCACTTTCAAACTGACATCAGCGCTGAATTCAACTAGCTTTTTTACAACTTGAATGGATTCATACATCGCTGCTAAATGCAGTGGAGTGTAACCCTCTCCATCGCAGGCATTTATATCTGCTTTGCACTTCATTACCAGCATACCTACAATCTCGGGACTCGTACTTTTGCAAGCAATATGAAGTATTGTAACGCCTTGTACGTCAGGGGAGCGTACGTCGACTTCTCATACAAGCAGGATGCTAACATTGTCAATTTTCAAGGCAAATTTGCGACCTCTTCTGAAAGCGCAAGAACAAAGTGAGAATGATACACTGTTCAATCGAACTTTCTTCTTTAAAAGCCATATGGTAAAAGTAGCATTTGAAAAGTAGTTTATCCGTAAACGAAGAGAACGTAAGCCTTCCTCGACATTTTCAGCCCTTTTCCTTTATTGTTTGACAATCATTTTCTAATTAGCTTTTAAATTTAGCGCCAGCGTCTCAATGAAAGTCCCGGATATGTCGCTGAATTCTGGGCGATGGGTCTTTTCTCGATCTCTAAATTCCTCCCTTACGCTCTCGGGAGGGTCCATTCCCCGTCCAGATTTGAAGACTTCTCCAAAGGCTGCAACGTTGAGCCTACCACCCTTATTCCGTCTTAAGAACAGGGGCAAAAGGGGTATTTGGACAAGAACATAATGCAAAGCTGCACTTCCGGCTCTGTCCTTCCTACAAACAAGGTAAATTCTTTCACCTGCATTCTTCTAGCAGCATTTCATATTCACATCAGCCATATTTTCCAGAATATATTTTACTACGTGTGCGCGTTTATTCCTGACTGTCAATTAAAGCGGAGTTTCTTCGTTCTTTGTCCGCACGTCAATCTTGCATCCTGAATCGATAAATAGTTTGAATACATTAAAATATCCTCCCTTAGCACTGTCATGCGACGGTAGTTCTCCGTTATTATCTTGAATGTTCACTTTAGCTCCGGGATTCTAGAGAATATTAACGGCCTTGTAAGCTGCCACAATTGAAGGCGTAACATTGTCGTTTGATATCTGAGCGTTTACGTCAGCTCTAAGATCAATGAGGGTCTTGATAAACTCACTAGAGGCTGATGTATTAACATTAACGGTGTACGGTTGCTTTTTCCATACTGCCAGACTAAACTCAGTAAATGAATGCTTTAAATTCAACGATGATTATATTGATTGAGATATTGATTTTTACTTCTGGTTGTTAGACGGTAACCAATCAACAAGTGACATACATTCAGCCTGGGCGGCCTGCATTTACAGGACCACAGGGAGGCATGGTTATCATTCAGTCAACTGGTGGAGTTACAACCGTAACACCAGCTTACCCAGCAGTAGTCCGGCCTCAAGTTTACGTTTAACAGCAAGTTATGGTATGCAAAATAATGATTGTAGTTGGTGGGCGGTCTGCATGGACAGAGCTGAATAGCGTCTGCACACGCACTACGTTTTGGCGCGGAAAACGTATTTTTGAGTCATTTGCATGTTCGATTTTCTCTTCTGTTGCTTCTAGGTGTTATTTCCTTTTACAGAACAACCTCCAAAACCCCTTAATATATTTTCAAAAATTCATTTTCTCCTCGAAAACACTGGAAATAGAAAAATGCCTTCAACGGCGACAAAATGACTCGGTTTTAAATGCCAGTTCCTTTTTCTCCGTAAATTTTGCTTAATTTTTAACCTCGAGTACCTGTGAAGTAGCATTCCGTTATTTAGCTCTGCCGCTGGTGAGCAGGCTGCATGAACAGCGTTACCTGCGAGATGCCACACTGCGGTCAAACGTAGGCCATGTGCAAGGGGATAAATTTTGGCCGGCCGAGGGCCAATTTCCGGCCTAGAGTTCAAAGGAGACTTAAGAAAAACCTGTGTCACGCCAAATACGCGAAACAAACAAAACCAGTGATACGTTATTGTAAATCTGAATGGAAACAATTGTAAGTAAAAAAGGGGTGCTCGAGACCTTTCGAACACAAAGCTTTTTCAAGTATGGGTGTCCTGTTGATTTACCATTGTGTTTTGAGCTTTATCAAGAAAGTTTCAAGACATTACCACTCGTACGACTGTCAGTAAATGATTATCATACATCAACTCCCATACAGGCCTGAATTTTTTTTAAGTAGAGTTCTCTCGCTGATGATTGTTGCTGTGTATATAGAGATGATATTCTGTGATTCAACTCCCGTACAAGCCTGATTTTTTTTAAAGTAAAGATCTCTCGCTGATGATTGTTGCTGTGTCTACAACGACGATATTCTGTGATTCTATCCTAGCCTCTCCCTTCGAGTATGTATAAAATGTACCACAGTGGAAATGTTGATCGTGTGGTCCTGCGAAGTACTGCTATCTGTGACATTTTATCGTCAACTAAAATTGAATTTATTATCACATCTGGTTTTAAACTTGGGAAAGTTGTCTCCTAAGGCGCTCAGAACATGAGCTTCGGCCAATGATCTTTCCTTTCTGAATTCACTAACGTTTTCAAGTGTCTCACGACAGCCCCTTTTCTTAAAACGTCACGTGTAATTTAAGTTTCTCTTTTTTTCTGTCCAAAGACGCTAGTTACTGACGAGAGGCCGCCACCTTATGCCGCATATATGCAGACGGGCAATCCTCCACCTTGAGGTGTTTCACTTGATGTTACCCCGTGTGGACTGGTTGATATTTGAGTCTATGCGGTGATGGGGCATAATTTATTTTGAAAGTTTCTGTAAATAGCCGACCAAGCATTTAGTGTAGCCATGTAAAGGACCATTCCATCTGAACTCAACAAATGGATTGCCTGGAATTCAGTGTTGCCATTTTGTATAAAAATAATTTTCATCTTGGGTACCAAGATGAAAAAGACACATTATTTCAAGTTTTGTCCCAATAATCGGGTTGTGGTCATCTAACGGTAAATTGTCTTTCTCCGTTACCGATATTTATCTAACCAGAAACAGGAACTTTGTACGCTCTTTAGCCCATCTTCCAAGCCTGCTTCTTCGTATAAAAACAGTACAATTTTAGCAATGAAAATTTCGGCAAAGCGCATAGGATGTTGGTTATCAAGCCAGCCTGGTCGACCAAGCTCAGTTGTAGAGACCCATTCTTTCAAGTGCTGCCCCCCAACATATGTATCCTTTTTTTCTTACTTTTCTACTGACACAGCGTCTAACACCGTGAATTGTTGCTTCCTGGCGTCAATATCCGTGTAACCCGTCCCGTTCATTTCATTTGTGAGTAGAAAGCAAAAGCGGGGCGAGTGACAGAAAAAAAGGGGGGGGAATTATAACCCTGCAAATTTGCTCTCGACCAAAAATTTATTTGTCTCCACTAACAGGAGAGTTTGGCAGAGGCTAGTATGCGTCAAGGACCCAAGAGGAATCTTTTATCGCCATAAATATACCTTTTGTTGCCATACGTAATAACAGTCCTCAGCATATGGTCAGTGAATATTTTGCAGTTGTGTAAGAGTGGTTATAGTGTATTAAGTTCTATTTTAGTAATAGCACAAGGCTTTGTATTGAATATTAGGGGAGAAGAAATAATTCAATGTTTTTAGATGAAACCGGAAAGGGAGAGTATTTCCTCTCTGAGCAGCCACAATTTATGCTGAAATGTTAAATGCCTCACAGATATATTTATGCAAGAAGGGGGGTGGTATTTTACGGTCAAGTTTTTGACTTTGAATTTCGTGATGTTACATGAAAACAAGGATACATTTAGATGTACTTTTTCTTTAAGTGGTAATTTATTCTGTTTATATCAAGTTATTTTCTTTGCATGCTGGGGGTTGTATAAAGACTAATTCTAGTCTGATCGTATCTTCTGAAGTAGTAAGTCCTTTCGCTTATTTATTGAAGATGGGTCCTACATAGTTCGTACAACTTTTCTCAATGAATTATTTGCGAAATTTAAGATTGGTAGGAGCCTGGTGCTTCTCTCTTAGATTTAAAGCGATTTTTATTTGCGATACTTTGGCGTTCTTATCTGCATTATGAGATATTCTTTTCACTAAGCTCGTTCCTAGTAAGCTTTTCGCTTCTAATGGTTGTTCGCCCCTCCCAACAGGGCGCTGTGTGAACAAGATCGAGGATTCGCCGGAAAAAGTTTGATATTAGAATTCATTATTTATTGAATTTTTCTCCGATATTTATTGTGATAACTTATTTTGTAGAATAACACAGAGTGATCATGTATATATAGTATGCCCCATCAGTCCAGTAAAGATTTCATTGCACGCAACACCGAATGCTGTGTATTTATTACTGACCTAGAATTAAGTAGAAGTGAAGATTGTCAATTACGCAATACACCGGTACAGTTTTTCTTTCTATGCCGACCTACACCTTCGCTGCTTTTATATCCAGGGTCAAGCAACTATTAAATTACCTCCAATTAGTTGGGCTATTAAGCTACCTCAAAATTGATTGAAAACTGTACAAAGAAAACAATTTTTTTGAATTCCTATCTGGTACACTACGTTGTGAAAGTATCAATCATGTGTGCAGGTGAAATAAAACTTTCACATATGTACAAAACAAAAGTGAATAACCGCACGATATTCAAACAGGCGATCGACTGCCACTTTCTCAATCAACGTTTCTACAAAACCAAGCCAGTCAAAATGATTTAAAAAATCAAATTAACATTAACTGATCCAAAATGCTAAATAAATTTCGGGTAACACGGCGATGAAAATAATAGTGCCATACCGTTATGAATCGAAATCTTCACGATGATCTTGCCTTGCAAACAATTCTTGTTTGCGCTGATTGTATGTAAAACAAAGATCACGTGCTGAGAAATTTAAGATAATGGTGAGCGGCATAAGTTATCTGAATTTGTCCTCGAAGAACTTTAAGCCATTTTCAAAGAAGGTTAAGACTTGTCCTGCCCCCTTAATAACCGATTGAATTTCCGCCGCTTCAATTTCCGCCGATTGACTTTCCGCTGACTGACTTTCCGAGTCTCTTTGGGAAAGGCTTCTTATCGGGTTAAGATACTCCCCAATTTTTGTTTCTTCGTTCATGCGAGCCAAGTCAGCCGCATCCTTTCCATCCACTTTCAAGCTAACGTCGGCATTGAGTTCAACCAGTCTTTTAACTACTTGAATGTTGCCATACATCGCTGCCAAATGCAGTGGTGTGAAACCGTCTGCGTCGTAGGCGTTTATATCTGCTTTGTATTTCACAAGTAAATCTACAATCTCGAGACTAGCACTTTTGCAGGCAACATGAAGAACTGTCTGACTTTGGGTGTCAGGAAAGGTAGCGCCCATTTCATTAATATTCTTCCGTACGTCCTCTGGAGGATCCTTTCCCGATCCACTCGTGAGGACGAGTCCAAAGTCTGCAACGTTAAGACTACCACCATTAGCGTGCATAAAGAACGAGGGCAACAGAGCTTTCTCTACTAGGACATAACGCCACGCTAGTTTCCCTCTGTCCTTCCCACGAACAAGGTAAATTCTATCACTTGCATTCTCATTGTATTTCATATTTACATCGGCTTCACTTTCAAGTAAACATTTGACTATGTATTTGTGTTTATTTTTGACGGCTAAGTAAAGCGGAGTTTGGCCTTTGTTGTCGCGCAAGTTGATGTCGCATCCCGAATCAATTAGTAACCGGGAGACACTTAAGAATCCTTTTTCTGCACACTGATGCAATTCTGTCCATTTTGAGATATTTAGAAGACTCACATCGGCTCCATGCTTTAAAAGGATATCAACGGCCATGAGGTTGTTCCAGTAAGCTGCCAGAGACAAAGGTGCAATCTTGTGGTCTGTCCTCTGAGCATTTACGTCAGCTCCAAGATTAATGAGGGTCTTAATAAACTCACCAGTGGCTGATAGACTTGCCCACATCAAAGGTGTACGGTTGCTTTTCCCTGGGATGTTAATGTCCACACCCTCGTTCAGAACCATCTCGACAGCCTTCTCTACATCATTGTTGTCTTGACACAAGTGCAGCTCACTTAGTGTATCAATTATCTCAATACACTTTTTGTGCAATTTTTCTATTTTAACATTTCCTTCTCCTTTATCTTGGAGAGCCAAGAGAATCTCTAATGCAGTTTTTCCAGGAAATACCTTTGCATGGCTTCCTGTTTTTTGTAAAGTCATGTCTTGGACAAAATTCTCAAGGGGGACATGAGCTTTCTTAAGAGTGTCATAATCGCTATGAAATACAGCCGCCTGCAGTTGATTGTAGCCAGATCGCCCATCTACATGGAGAAAAGCTTTTCTTGAAAGGGACAGTAGACTAGGCTGTAATGAAAAATAGGTTATGGTCGGTAATTTATCAAAAAAAAACAAAAACAAAAACCAAACTCAGGACTGAAAACTAGTTCTTAAGATAAACTCAAACGATTCAGATCATGTTGGTGTTGTGTGGCACTGACACAAGTATGGCATGTGATGACGAGTTCAACATAAAATTCAATATAAAAACTGTAACATCATTTCAGGGTTATTATTCAATAACACTGAAAATGGCAATGTTGTATCACAATCTCAGTTAAGTCATCAAGACAAAGATTCTCTTCCATTTAAGATTCTGTGCGTCATATTTTAGACCTCTTCGCGGTGGAACATTCCAAGATTGAACGAAACGTAGGTGAACAACAAAATGTATGCACTGCTGTTCGGTGTTGATGGAAGAAGACGCTAAGACCATAGAAACGAGGCTGTGCACCAAACATAAAACTACTGCGAACTGGTAGTAAACAACCGTAATTAAAAGAAGCGTTTGCTTAATCTTATCGAGTTATCCTGATGTAATATGCTTTTAGAAGCAGTTTCAAAACATGAAAGAAGAATAAAGATTTGACCATACCGGTTGGTTATAGCTGGGACTCGCGTTATTCCTCAGAAGCAGCTCAATAATGCATCGGTGATTGTTGTGTTCAGCTTTTTGTAGCGCTGTTTTTTTAAACTAAAAGGTAAAAAATTATCAATTTGCAAAGGTCAAAATATTAGAGTAACTGCCACTCACTCAATAAGATCGGTTTTCCTGGACACGAGATACAATCTGTAAAAGAAAGGTTTCCAGAGCTTATGCAAGTCTTTTCTTGCCTGGAATATTTTGTCAGTACTGTACATCTGACATATATTGCCAAAAAGAACAGAAACACGAGTGGTCACCAACTTACGCTGTCTACAGCATTCACATTTGCACCGTGCTTTAACAAGAGTTCTACAACAGCTCGTTGCCCATACCACGCGGCAAGGTGAAGAGGCGTTAAATTAAACTGCAAAATCAAAGCAAATCGTTGGATAAAGGTCAAATACTTTTTAATCTATGGTACAAAGGAGCAAAAAGAACAGACACATCTAAACGCAAAATCAAGCTAGTAACCCTATCCGTCTGGTCCACATCTTCACCACTTTCAAGAAGTACTTTGACAACGTTGCATCGACCGCTGATTGCAGCTTTGTGTAGAGTTCTTCTTGATAACTGTAAAATAGGACTGCCTTTTTAGCACTTTGCTACTAAGACACTTATAATAATCACAATAACAATGTTCATGACGCACCGTTACACAGAGAATACCCTCACAAACTAATTTTGATCATTAATAGGGCTATCCGAAACGTAGCACAAGTACCGAAGAGAAGAGTCTGTGTAAAAATTCAAGAACTTGAAGGATAGCAAGAGCAGTTCTTGCTGAGAACATAAAAATCGGAATGATGGGACATACAAAAACAATAACATTAACGATAATAATGGGATCAAATAATTTAGCGGTGGACATTCCACGAGTTGGCCTTCTCGTCCATTGTTTCCAGGTTGGATTGGAATTCAAAATGTTGGTTTTATTTTGTCCTTCTCCCGAAAGTAACTTGGCTTAGACAATCGCCTCGTGCTTGCTTTTAAAAACCTCTTCTGCTAACTGTAAGCTGTACGTATAAAACCGCTGATTATCACCACTTCTCATATCAAGAGAAAACTAGAGGGCTGAGAGGGAGGCTCCTGGTCCGAGATTCGTCAAATCTAAAAGACGAAAAACCATCGGGGCAGGGAAGAGGACCAACGAAAAACTTAACATACATGTGACACCAAGTCCGTAAATCAAACCCAAACCACAGTGGTGTGAGGCGAGTGCTCTCAAAGCTGCGCCCCTCCCAAGTATCAAGTACTACTCACATAAGCATATTACAGTGAAAAAGAGGATTTGATCGGAGTAGAATTTTAAGACCAATTTCGATGAAAATCAAAAACTAGTTTTTTAAAAAAAAAAGTGAAAAGAATAACGCAAAGACATAGCAATTTGTAAAAGCTTGCACTACATCAAAACTGTCACACAATTTAGTAGTTGACTTACTTTGGCAATTTCAGCTCGAAGCTCACACATCGATTCTGGGTTTTCGTCCTAAGGGAAGAAAGACAATTTTGAAGTATATATATATATATATATAGATGTGTGTTGCGATAGAGGAAAAAAACAAAAAGACAATACTTTCATCCCTACAAGCCTGTTTCGTGATTGCTCACTGCTCACTCATCAAGGGATTTTATTGTTAAGAATTTTCGTACCATCGTTTATATACTTTATAAATTTGCATAAAAATAATACTTCAATTGTCACATAGTTACGTTTTGTTTCTGTGGCGGCATGAGGACACGAGCTCATTACGTTTATTGAGTGATGATAATTCGGGTCGGCGAATGATGAGTAATTTTTCTCTGAGGCAGAGGTTGCATCTTTTGTTTGCGCTGTTGTAGGGTGATCTTGATGAAAGGATACGCCATGAAATATAGTGGTTAATGTTAATTTCTTTAAGGGTCCAGATATGCTTGCTGAGTTCGGTAGAGTTTCTGAGTCTTGTGTGTCGGAATGATGCGGTGTGGTTTCTGTATCTAGTCTTGAGGTCGTTTTCTGTATATATATATATATATATATATATATATACACATATATATATACACATATATATATATACACATACACATATACACATATATATATATACATACATGTATACATACATACATATATATATATATATATATATATATATATATATATATATAAATGAATGTGCGGGTAGAGTCTACCTTGGCATAAAATACTCAATGCTGTGGTAGCAGAGCTAAGTATACATAAGTTAAAGAATTAAAGAGGACGCATCGATTCTCGTGACCAGACACAGAGAATCGATGTGCCCTATTTAATTCTTTAACTTATGTATATATATATAGATATATATATGGATAGATTTAGATATAGCTATAGATATAGATATATAGATATATAGATAGTTATAGATATAGATAGATATATAGATATAATATACACTCCGACGAAAAATTGCATAGCAATAGTTTAACCGTTGAAGATAGTGGGGGGCTGTCGTTTCGATAACCTTTCTGGAACTCTTTGTCAGAGTCTAATTGTCCTCTTGTTTTGCTTCTCTCGGGTGATTTAAAACTGTGCTTAAATCGTAATTTTTATCCTCGTTTTAGTGTATATCGCAGCTGATACAATGCTGACTTTTTTATCGACATGAACCCCAGGACTGGCAAACCAGAACCCAGTAAATAAATTATGTTTTTGTCTAATGTCTGGGCCTTTGACTGGAAACTATTTGTTATCATATTATGTTACCTTTTCCCTCATTTGGCGGGTTTCTTTGGAAGCGGCGTCTGTAGATAAGACGCTCGATTCTTGAGAGTGAACACTCTTCCTACCTTCTTGATTTAGAGCACTGACGCTAATGCCTGCGTAATTTAACAAATGCAACCGAGTTAATAGAAAAGAAGTGTGGTTCTTGAAATGATTGAAGCATGATCGGTGAATTTCTATGCTCGTATTGTTCTGTTCGCATGTAAAGGTACAATATAAAAACTGCTAGAAATCTCTTAAATTACAGAACAATTAGGACTCTTGATTCTGTACGTGACGACAGTACTGGCGTGTCCAATAAGCAAAACTGCACACTTTTGCAACACAACAATAACAAGTTATCCATCTGTATCTATCTACGTGGTCCTCCATTCGCTCGCGAATGTTAATGGGAAATTTACGCGCTTGAAATTGTTAGCGACCAGAAGAGTCTTCTCTTTTTTCAATTTTACAAATTGCTAGTACTTGTTGTCTTTAGACTTACCGTCTAGCTTGTGCTCAACTTTTCGAAGTAAGGATTGCATTCTATCTAATCTATCCATCATACTGGTGTGAAAAGAAAAGAGCTTTTCTGTCACTCTTTCGTTCTCCTCTCTAGTTGGCATGTCGTCCAATTTGTCATTAATTGAAGCAAGTTTGACGTTTTTGAATTTTTCCAGTAGATCTTTGACGTCATTGTCAACAATCCTCTTGAAACCTAAAAAAGATGACTGTATTACAAATTATGGTGATAATAATAATAATAATAATAATAATAATAATAACAATAATAATAATGTCAACTCTGAAGTCGCTGATGATAATGATGATGACTGTATTGATATAAGGTAGAGCAGTAAGCGAAGTAATTGGTAGGAGGAAATGATATGTTGTCACTGTAGATACGGCATTTGAGTAATAAATAAGACAGTTTCTACTTCATATTACTAAAGCGGCCTCCTCTGAGTATGTTGCAGCGACTACGTTGGTACAGGGAAAACCCGCGGGAGATTTACGGAGATTCGCGGGAGATTTGCGGAGATTCGCGTGAGTTGCCGAGGGAATGAAAAACATGATGGCAATCGCAGGCGGTATAGTTTGATTTGATGCGAATAAAAGACAATAAACGAACAAAAACATACTCAAAGGACCATGAATGAAAGCCAGGAATATGCCCTGCCACAAAATTATGCAGTGGGCTTAATCCCTGTGAACGGAGAGTAGTCAAGCGTCATGAGCACGAACAAGGTTAGGAGTTTGCGCTGAGTTTGGTTCCTAAGTGGTTAATGTTTTCGAAAATACTGGAAATGCAGCCAAAAACATACATTTTCAAATTTCCGGGAAGAATGCCCTGTGACCCCTGGAAAGCCACGTCTCTGCTCTCTTTAAGCGTATTTATACTGGTCTTGAATTAACATTCAACCTGGAGAATTGCTATATTAACAAGCTATTCGTTGCGTAGTTACAGTAGGTAACTAGTAGGTAAAATATATTACACTAGTTGAGACATTTCCAGTACCCTCTGTTTTCCATGCAGAAAGTTCATCCAAAAGCTCCTTTTTTTTGACGGGAAGCAGGGGCAGATATTTGAGCAGAGCCTTTAACTTGTCAAAGCACTGGTCAAAGAAAATTTGGGTCCAGTCACTCTCTTTAAAATGACTTCCCCGATTCCTAACATTCTCTCTGACATCATCTGCCAACGACTGAATATCGTGGAAAGGATTGGAAGACACGAATATTTGTATGGGATACTTCCTACATCCCAAAAGTCTAAGAGCGGCACTCAAATCCATAGATTTGTCGAATGCCGAGAATACTGCCAGGTAGTCTGGGAGATAAAGCTTGGCAAGATCAACTGGGCTGTTTACATTGTAGTTGTAGGCCATTTTGGTCCTTCCATGAACACAAGAATTGTTGTTAATATTTCCGAAATTTAGGTCTTTAAGCAAAGAAGCAGGACTTGGAGTGGCTGTCAGATGGCATACATCTGCATAGGTCAGTGTTTGTAGACTGCGAGGTGTCGGTAAGCCATTAAGGTGATTATCTAGGGAAGCATACAGCTTGTCCATTCCTTGTTTCACGATATCCTGTAAAACTGGAGCTACGACCTTATTTGAGGCAACAAGAGTTACAAGCCATCTTTTGTCGTTCCCGAGGACATCCATAGTGACAAATGTTCCTGCTCAATGAACTGAACTCTGGATATGATCTGTAAAGTACACATAAAAAAAGAAAAGCATATCAGTAACAGAGGTGCTGTGGGTTTTAAATTCACGAAATGTAGGCGGAAAGTGTCCATTATTGGAAACAAATAACAACTTAGTCAGGGATAAGTCACTACTTGATCACAATGATTAAATTATCATTATCCCACAGTTGCAGCCCCACAAGGCCAAGTATTATACCACAATCAGACTACAAATAAAGGAGGGAATTTAGCCAAGGTGGCGTAAATGAAGTTGGACAAACAAGACCATTTTTTAATTCAGGTTCATACATCTTAAGAACCATTGACTCCTAGAACACATCGTCACACGAAGCAAACGATACAGTCAATTAATGACATATAGATATGGATCTATTCTATCTTTTATTGATTGGAAATTCTTCCGTTGTCTGATAGCGGTTATTGTTTGATTAAGACCACACACTGTTGTCACGGTATGGCGTGAGGAACTTGCATTACTGAGTGAAAAGAAGCCCTCTGATCGCACAAGGAAATGCCCGATAACTTTTTGCTTGGGGGAAAAGTTAGCTTTTACTTCATCAAGACTCTCCACTCCTATTGTCATTTACCCTCTTGGTACTCTATTTCATTCAAATTTTTGGCCTTTGTGACGGTTACAGGTGTGTGTTTGAGCCACAGAGGACTTCTTCTTGTTCTGGAAACGCTCCAAAGAGTTGTAAACCTTTCCGGAGTCTCAACTTTGAACACGCTTAGCAGCTCTGGCCTGAGAATTCGAAGCCACTGATTCGAGCATATACAGTAGTACAACACCGTACTGTGTGAGAGTAGATCGACCTCGTTTTAACATTAACTATCGAATAGAAGAGCTCCTGAGTATACTCTCCCGCTTTTAAGACCTTTAATTGCTGCCGTGTGTACTCGAGTGATATGAAGCAAAATAGCGAGATTGTCTAATCTAGTTTACGCTTGAAGGCACATGTCGTGAGCACATCATGATTTCAATCATGCAAATAAGCCACATTCAACATATTTTGCAGCAACTAAGCACAAAGAAATAGAGGTTCCCCGAGGTTTCAAAATAAAAATAATTTCAATACCGTTGCATTCTCAGTGACGGACGTTGAACTTTTATGCTCAGTTATCTCTAAAAGTACAAAGATCAACGAAATTAATTTGTACAAACCCTCCTGCTTTCCAAATCGGTCAGGTGCCAACTCCGATAGCTTATTCGTTGTAAAATCAACCGACACACTGAGTTTAAGGTGGCGTTCATTTGTGACGATGAGGTTTCCCGTGGCTAAAATGCACAGGAATTTCAAACTGAATGAGTTAGAACTATAAACAAACCTTCAATCCAAAATGAAATCAAAACTGATATTTGCTTCCACTAAGTAAACACGAAACTACAACAAATGTTCGTTTCTTGTTAACTGAGTCTTGCCTCTTCAATTTCTGTTCACTTCCTTCAGTTACCGCATCTCAAATCTTCCATTTTGTGGTCAATATACGCAGAGATTGGAGGTTCATATTCAAAAGATCGAGTCCTCTGTGCCTTTTGTTTCAAATAGCGTACTGACACCACGAAAGTGCATAGATTCCATTCCAAATAAACATTTTTTGGACCTTAGTTTCGTCTTCATCTATAGCTAGTTACTCAATTAGAATGATCCGTGAAGCCATAAGAAGCCATAAGAAGCGTACTCTGCCGCTCATCTCAAATCGCGTCTCGTAATTTGAAGACTGCGAGAAAGCAATTGCCATGTACTGCTTATTAAATTCATTTCTCGCCGAAGCTTACTGTAAATTGAGGCCTCTACGTGTTTTCTTGCACCTTTGACAGATATTCATTCCTACAAAAATATTCCGAAAAGACCCAATAAGAGCGTGTTTCAAATAAACCAAATGCAGTGACGAGATGATTTGGACGAAAGTCTAAATCGTGCTGTTTCGTTTGCGCCTATTTAACATAAGTTGTTGTCATGATTTCAAGGATGACTCGAAATTGAATACAAAATGGCGATAATTAACTAGGAAAAGCGCTTCCACGAATGATAGTGTTCGAATTTTTTCCGTCTGAGTCCAAGAGCACGTTAGATAAACCTCGGTTTAAGTTGTATCGAATTTACTGGTACACTTAGGAATTAAAGAGCTGTTAAGCCTACCTTAACATTCAGGTTAAAGTGAGAAATATCTTGATAAGTTTAAAGCTGCAAACTAGCGGCTGGGATGCTTGAACAAATATCCACGAGTTACCACTGCTCCTATTTACGTTAGTATTATCGAAGATTTGATGAAGTATAGAAAATGGCGGCTGAAACGTAAGAGAGTGTGCACTGCCACGACTTGAAAGGTCGGATACACCCCTAGCAACGGGAGAGTCCCTTTGTGAACGACGCATTTGAGCCTTGCAAAATTCAAAGCCGGGTGAGAAGTTGCACTAAACATGAACTGACTTTGGATATCTTACGGTGCTAAGATATAAACGAATTGACGAACACAAACTTAAAAATGCTGCAAATACCAAGAAAATAGACTGAATTAGAAAAGTAAAAGGATCCCGTTCAGACAATGACGTTATATTCGAATTTATTCAATACGCTAAGGACAGTATCATGCAGAGCCCCCAGTAGGACATCAACCAAATAGTTTGAGATGAAAAGAAACAACTTATAAGATGACTTAGAACTCGTCCAGGACAACTTATATAATTCAGTAGTGCTTTTCACTCGTCCACGTTAACTAATAGGTCGAATTATAACTCGTCATGTCGACTAATAAGTCGACTTATAACTCGTCGTATCAACTTACAAGTCGACTTACTCGTCCATGTCGAATTATAAGTCGACTAATAACTCTTCGTATAGACTTAGAAGTCGACTTATGACTCGTTCATGTCGATCTCGACTTGTAACTCGTCCTACTCCTCCTGCAAGGATCTACATCCGATGGGAGGCTGGGAATCCGTTTCAAGATGGAGGACCGAAACTATCTTGTTGAACATTACTTAAATCTGGAATATCAAGAAAAGGAAATTCTATCATGTCTTCCACTGATACATAACCGGAGCCTGAGTTCCAGGCAGTTAAGGCAAATACTTGCACATAGAGGTTTAACGAGAAGGAAACATGTATCCAACCTTTTAACAGTTATAAATCGCCTAGAGAGAGAGCTTCAATCCACTGGACGTAATATCGGTTATCAGTATATGTGGCAAAGACTCGTGGTCGACCATGACCTGGTGGCCGCTAAAGAAACTGTAAGACACACGAATTTTGGATCCAGAGGATGTTGAGGATAGATTAAGGCATAGAATGCAAAGGAGTCAATACAAAGGGAGAGGTCCGAATTTCTTATGGCACAATGACGGTTTTGATAAGCATACACGGCTGAAGTAGAAGAATTGTGTAGCTTGAAGTGGGTATTTCAAACAATGAACCAGCGTTTGAAGCAAAATATTTTGTGGGGTGTACTGCACGTATTGTTCGACCTGATTTGGGTACAGAAAACACTTGCGTTGCAGGTATCCAACGGTTTCCGCGCAACAATTCCCGGGACTCATTTTCCAATGACAAGAGCTTTATGTATGGTCGCTCAGTATCCAATCAGAGGATAGAGGCGCGGTGGTCTCAGCTGCCAACGATGATGTGCAAAGTAGTGGATGGATGATTTCAGGGAGCTAAGCGAAAGTGGTCTGTACTGTGACTCAAATCCAGTTCATGTAGAGTGTCTCAGATTTTGTTACATGGATCTAAACAAGGATGAACTTCATAGATTTGCAAGGCTTTGGAACAACCACCATATTACACCATCAATCAACTGCGAGTCTCTCTCAGGCCGCCCAAATTTTCTACATAATCTTCCAGAGATATCAGCCACACAGAATTTCTTTGTTTCCATTGACAACGATGAAATCAGCCTTTGTGAAAAGTAACTGTGTGACATGAGCTGTACCAGTCTTAACTGCAGCGAGGAATTTTTGGAATTGGCAACCATCCTCATGAATGAGGAAAACTTGATGCTATGCAAAGACCCCATGGAGGCAAGAAATCCTTATTTATCATTGACCGATCACATAAAAAATTTGTAAAAGCCTTCATCCAAAGAACAGTTTGGTGTTTACCAATAAATTAATATCTGACGGGACTTCTGGTAGTCATTTGGAATTTCCAGGAAAACAACTTTCTTGCTGTTATGGCACCATTCATTTTTTTCATGGGGTGGGTAGGGAGCTGGTAAGATTTGATAGACAGAGCCTGTAATGTATAATGACCCACTTCACATCAAACATTTTAACCCTGCCCCCGCGCCCCTCCTTTCTGACAGCCCTAAGATTTTGACATACCCCACTTCCCAAAAATGATAAAGTAAGATTTTAATTTCAGAACCTCTGAAACATTATTTTAGGTTTTCTGGTTGGCTCTGTTATAGATGCCATTATATGATACTATTACACAGCAGACGTTTTTTGATGCTCCACTCCCATTTAAAGCTTTGTTTGCTATCCTACCCCTCCCCCCCCCTCAAATCCCACATTGGCGAATTATAAGTCCACTTATAGGTCGACATGACGAGTTATAAGTCGATTTATAAGTTGATATGACGAGTTGTAAGTCGACTTATAAGTCGACATGGACGAGTTAGGTTCACACACTAGAACACACTAGGACATACGAGTTGATTCAAATAGAGGAACGGTCGTTCATTATGGAATGAGGTCGCATGATTTTGTTTGTGTCACTAAAAATGTAGATTTATTCTAGAAAAATATTAGACGTACGAAAACATATTACGTATCGTAAGCGTGAAATTTATAATTTTACGTTTGTTTGTTAGACGGTAACCACTTAACAGGTGGTGAACATTCAGCCTGGGCGGCCTGCGTTTACAGAACTTCAGGGGGCTGGGTTATCATACAGTCAACTGGTGCAGTTACAACTGCAACGCGTGGTTATGAAGTAGCAGGTCAGCTATTGGTGTACAATCCACAGCAAGTGCATGTGAGCTGTACCTTGGAGAGGATTGAGGTTTTTTTCTCATTGTTTGTTAACGAAAAACTCAACCTAAGCGTGACACTAGGTCCGTGAATGGAACCCAGGCCACAGTGGTTTAAGGCGAGCGCTCTTAACACTGCGCCACCCACATCCCTCCTAAATATCATGTGTTACTCACATAAGCATATTACAGAGAGGAAGTGGATTTGATCGGAGTGGAATTTGAGACCAATTTTCATGAAAACTGAAAAACTATGGTTTTGAAGAAATTTCCTCTCCAAATATTACGTCAAAGTAGGGAGCAAAAAGAATAACGCGAAGGCATGGAAAAACAAAAAAAGAGAAAAAATAAACTCAAATGGAACAAATACATAGAGCATTATTTTATCCTTCTCCTTTCTCTCCACTTAAAAAGAAAAAAACAAGAAGAAAACAAGAAAGAAACCGAACCCTCTTCGAATTCTGCTCACTGTACGCTGTACGCATAAAACCGCTGATTATCACCACTTTCCAGATCAAGGAGAAAACTAGAGGGCAGAGAGGGAGGCTCTTGGTTCGGGATATGTCGAATCCAAAAAGACGAAATTAACTTTTCTGAGATGTCCGCATAAAAGATAACAGACATAACATCGAACTGGTCCTCTTATTTAACCACAATGTGTCTTCAATGTTAACGCATACACTACATCATAAAACTGTCACACAATTTAGTAATTGACTTACTTTGGCAATTTTAGCTCGAAGCTTACACGTCGATTCTGGGTTTTTGTCCTGAGGGAAGAAAGGAAATTTTAAAGTCAACGCATTCCAATTAAAAATGTTTTTTTTTAAGAAAACATTTACACGTTACAGGTATAGCATACCACTCCAACTCCTACTTTCCGTATGGGTCCCCCATTGGATGAAAAATTGCACAGCAAGTTAAGTTTTCTTCAGTAATGATTTGAGCCCAAAGGTATTATTGGATTGTGTAGTTTTTCCGCGGAGAAGAACTGTTGATGGAAGTAGAAACTGTAGTTTCGACAACCTTCATGGAACGCTTCGTCAGAGTCTAATTGACCTCTTGCTTTGTTTGTTTCAGGTGATGGTGACCATGCTTGATCATTATTTCTATCCTCGTGTTACTGCACATCGTAGCTAATACAAGGCTGACTTTTTTATCGACACTAGCCCCAGGCCTGGCAAACCCGACTCCAGTAAATAAATTATGTTTTTGTCTAATGTCTGGGCCTTTGACTGGAAACTATCTGTTATCATGTTATGTTACCTTTTCCCTCATTTGGCGTGTTTCTTTGAAAGTGGCGTCTGTATATAAGACGCTTGATTCTGTAGAGTGCACTCTCTTGCTACCCTCTGGATTTAGAGCACTGACGCTGATGCCTGCATAATTTAACAAATGCAACCAGGTTAATGAAAAAGACGTGTGGTTTTTGAAATAACCGAAGTATGGTCGCATTTAAAGGTAAAATAAATTAAAAAACAATTATAGAACAATTAGGACAGTTAACTCTGTGCACGTCGACAGTACTGGCTTGTCCAATGAGCAAAACTGCACACTTTTGCAACACAACAATAACAATTTAACTCTCTGTATCTAATTAACTATGTGGTCCCCGATTCGCTGGCGAGTATTAATGGAAAATTTACGCGCTTCTGTGGGTGAAATTGTTAGCAGCCAGAAGAGTCCTCTCTTACAACATTATTTTTCACTGGGATTTTACATATTGCAAGTAGTCGTTGTTTTTAGACTTACTGTCTAGTAAGGATTGAAGTAAGAATTCCATTCTATCTAATCTATCCATCATACTGGTGTGAAAGGAAGACAGCTTTTCTATCACTCTTTCGTTCTCCTCCCTAGTTGGCATGTCGTCCAATTTGTCATTAATTGAAGCAAGTTTGACGTTTTGGAATTTTTCCAGTAGATCTTTGACGTCATTGTCAACAATCCGCTTGAACCCTAAAAATGATGAATGTACATTAAATGATGATAATAATGATGATGATAATAATAATAATAATAATAATAATAATAATGTCAACTCTGATGTCGATGATGATAATAATGATGACTGTTTTGTAAGGCAGAGATTAAGTTAAGTAACTGGTGAGAGGAAATAATTTGTCACTGTAGATACGGCATTTGAGTACTAAGTAAGACAGTTTCTACTTCATATTACTGAAGATGGCTCCTCTGAGTATGTTGTTGTGCTTACTTGATTGCAACGACCAGGTTGGCACAAGGAAAACCCCTGAAGCGGAGTTTCGCGTGAGTTGCCAAGGGAATGAAAACATCATGGCAATGGCAGGCAGTCTAATTTAATTTGATGAGAATAATAAAAGACAAACGATCACAAACATATTCAAAGGGCCATGAATGAAAGTCAGGAATATGCCCTGCCACAGATTATATAGTGGGCTTAATTCCTGTGAGCGAAAAGCAGTCAAGCGTCATGAGCACGAACAGGGTTAGGAGTTTGCGCAGAGTTTGGCTCCTAAGTGGTTAGTGTTTTCGAAGCTTCGTTTAAAGGTAAAATACTGAAAATGCAGTCAAAAAACATATGTTTTCAAATTTCCGGAAAGAATGTCTTGTGAACCCTGGAAAGCCGCGTCTTTGCTCTCTTTAAGCGTATTTACATTGGTCTTGAGTGAACATCCAACCTAGAGAATTGCTATATTAAACTAAAGCTATTCCTTGAATAGTTACATTACACAGCTCGAGACATTTCTAGTACCTTCTGTTTTCCATGCAGAAAGTTCATCCAAAAGCTCCTTTTTTTTGTCGGGAAGCAGTGGCAGATATTGGAGCAGAGCCCCTAACTTGTCAAAGCACTGGTCAAAGAAGATTTGGGTCCAGTCACTCTCTTTAAAATGACTTCCCCGATTCCTGACATTCTCTCTGACATCATCCGCCAAAGGCTGAATATCTTGCAAAGGATCGGAAGAAACGAATATTTGTATGGGATACTTCCTACATCCCAATAGTCTAAGAGCGGCACTCAAATCCATAGATTTGTCGAATGCCGAGAATACTGCCAGGTAGTCTGGGAGATAAAGCTTGGCAAGATCAACTGAGCTGTTTACATTGTAGTTATAGGCCGTTTTGGCCGTTTTGGTCTTTCCATGAACACTAGAATTGTTGTTAATATTTCCGAAATTTAAGCCTCTAAGCGAAGAAGCAGGACTTGGCGTGGCTGCTAGATGGCATACCTCTGCATAGGTCAGTGTTTGTAGACTACAAGGTGTCGGTAAGCCATTAAGGTGATTATCTAGAAAAGCATACAGATTGTCCATTCCTTGTTTCACGATATCCTGTAAAACTGGAGCCACGACCTTATTTGAGGTAACAAGAGTCACAAGCCATCTCTTGTCGTTACCGAGGACATCCATAGTAACGAATTTTTCTGCTCAATGAACTGAACTCTGAATATGATCTGCAAAGTATGCATAATTTAAAAAAAAGCATATTAGTAACAAAGGTACCGTGGGTTTTAACTAAAGAAATGTAGGCAGAAAGTTTCCATCATTTGGAAACAAATAAAAATTGAGGGATAAGTCACTACTTGAGGACAGTTACCAGAATGATAAAGTTATCATTATTCCACATTTGCAGCCCCACATTTAGTAGCACAAAGAGGATGGAATCATGATTGCATCAAACTTTAAAGGCCAAGTTATTCATATCACACTCAGACTGCAAATAATGGAGGGATTTTGGCCAATGTGGTGTAAAATGAAGTTAAAGAAACGAGACAAGTACAGGTTCACATATCTTAAGATCCATTGACTCCTATAACATCGTCACATGAAGCAAACGACGTAGTCAATTAATGGCAAATAGATATGGATCTATTAAATATTTTATTGTATGGAAATTCTTCTGTTGCCTGATAGCGCGGTTATTGTATGACCAAGTGATCCAGCTTCACAATGATTTTAATTTTTTTCAACATGAAACACACACACACAACACCGCTTTTTAGTGTAGTGAAAAAATTATTAGAATATGACAAAAACAAAACAAAAAAAAACCAAAAACAGTTTATGTCAAAGTTGTCACGGTATGGCGTTAGGAGCTTGAGTGAAACAAAGCCCTCTGATCGCACAAGGAAATGGCCCATAACTTTTTGCTTGGGGGGAAAGTTGGCTTTTACTTCATCAACATTTCCCACTCTTATTATCATTTAACCTCTTGGTGCTCGTTTCATTCACATTTTTTGCTTTTGTGACGGTTACGAGTGTATGTTTGAGCCACCGAGGACTTCCACTTGTTATGGAAACGCTCCAAAATTTGTGTACCTTTCCGGAGTCTTAACTTTGAACACGCATAGCAGCTCTGGAGAATTCGAAGCTACCGATTCGAGCAAATACAGTAGTACGACACCATACTGTGTGAGAGTAGATCGGAAACAATTCCTCGTTTTAACATTGCCTATTGAACAGATGAGCTCCTGATTATATTCTGACGCTTTGAAGACCTTTGATTGCTGCCTTGTTTACTCGAGTGATATGAAGCAAAATAGCGTGATTGTCTAATCCAGGTCACGCTTGAAGGCACATGTCGTGAGCACATCATGATTTTAATCATGCAAATAAGCCACATTTAACATATATTGCAGCAACTAGGCACAAACAAATAAGAGGTTCCTGGAGGTTTTAAAATACAGATAATTTCAATACCGTTGCATTCTCAGTGGCTGACATTGAAAATTTTTACATTCAGTTATCTCTAAAAGTACAAAGCTTAACGAAATGGATTTGTACAAACCCTCCTGTTTTCCAAATCTGTCAAGTACCAACTCCGATAGCATATTCGTTGTAAAATCAACCGACACTGTGAAATTTGAGGTAGCTAGAATGCATGTAGTAACTCCCTAGAATTGCACAGCAATTTCAAATCGAAGGAGTTGAAACTATTAACAAATCCTCAATCCAAAACGAAATCGAAACTGATATTTGCTTTTACTGAGTAGACACGAAACTACAACAAATTTTCGTTTTCTGTTAACTGAACCTTGCTTTTTCAATTTCTGTTCACTCGCTACAGTCACTGCACCTCCAAATTTCCATTTTGTGTTCAACATATGGAGAGATTGGAGGTTCATATTCAAAAGATCGAGTCGTCTGTGCTTTTTGTTTCAAATAGCATAATGATACCACGAAAGCGCATAGTTTCTTTTCCAAACAAACAACTCTTGGATCTTACTTTGGTCTTCACCTATAGCTAGTTACTCGATTCAAATGATCCATGAAGCCACAAGAAGCCATAAGAAGCCATAAGAAGCGTACTCTACCGCTCATCTCAAATCGCGTGTCTCGTAATTTGAAGACTGCAAGAAAGCAATTGCCATGTACTGCTTACTAAATTCATTTATCGCTCCATCTCACTGTAAATTGAGGCCTTTACGTGTTTTCTTGTATGTTGCTTTGCCTACCTGATTGCACCGATTAGGTTGGCATAGTGAAAATTCCTGAAGCGGAGATTCGCGTGAGTTGCCAATTGAATAAAAACATCATGGCAATCGCAGGCGGTCTAGATTAATAGACGATAAACGATCACAAACACATCCAAAGACCATGAATGGAAGCCAGGAATATGCTCTGTCACAAATTGTACAGTGGGCTTAATCCCTGTGAGTGGAGAGCAGTCAAGCGTCATGGGCACGAACAGAGTTAGCAGTTTGTGCTGAGTTTGGCTCCTAAATGGTTGATGTTTTCGAAACTTCGTTTCGAGGTAAAATACTGAAAATGCAGCTAAAAACATATGTTTTCAAGTTTACGGGAACAATGCCCTGTGAACCCTGGAAAGCCACGTCTCTGCTCTCTTTAAGCGTATTTACATTGGTCCTGAGTTCATATCCATAGCATATCAGTAACAGAGGTACTGTGGGTTTAAAACTAACGAAGTGTAGGCGGAAAGTTTCCATCATTTAGAAACAAATAAAAACTGAGGGATGAGTCACTACTTGAGGACAGTTATCAGTATGATTAGGTTATCACTATTCCACAGTTTCAGCCCGACATTTAGTAACACATAGAGGATGGAATCATGATTGCATCAAACATTAAAGGCCAAGTTACTCATACACTCAGACTGCAAATAATGGAGGGATTTTGGCCAATGCGGTATAAAGGAAGTTAAACAAATAAGGCAGGTACAAGTTCATACATCTTAAGATCCATTGACTACTATTAACATCGTCACACGAAGCAAACGACATAGTTGACAAATAGATATGGATCTATTCAATATTTCATTGCATGGAGATTCTTCCGTTGCCTGATAGCGCGGTTATTTTTTGACTAAGTGATCCAGCTTCACAATGATTTTAATAATTTTCAACGTGAAACACATAACACTACTTTTTAGCGTGTAATGCCCTTCTGGAGGCTGCTCTAGTGAATAAAATCATTTGAATGTGACGAAGACAAAACAAAACAAAACAAAATAAAAAAATAGCTTATGTCACAGTTGACGAAGCCGTCTGATCGCGCAGGGAAAGTGCCAGATAACCTTTTGCTTAAGGGGAGGGGGGGAGGGAGGAAGTTAGCTTTTACTTAGTCAAGATTTCCCATCCCAAATTATCATTTACCCTCTTGGTGCTCTATTTCATCCACATATTTCGCCTTTGTGACAGTAACGCGTATGTCTTTGAACCACCGAAGACTTCTTCTAGTTCTGGAAACGCTTCAAAGAATTTTATACCTTTCCGGAGTCTTAACTTTGAACTCACGTAGCTGCTCTGGAGAATTCGAAGCAACCGATTCGAGCAAATAGAGTAGTGCAACACTGTACTGTGTGAGAGTAGATCGGCGACAATTCCTCGTTTTAACATTAACTATCGAACAGAAGAGCTTCTGATTATATTCTCACGCTTTGAAGACTTTTAATCGCTGCTGTGTTTATTCGAGTGATATGAAGTAAAATAGCGTGATTGTCTAATCCAGGTCACGCTTGAAGGCACATGTCGTGAGCACATCATGATTTCAATCACGCAAATAAGCCACATTTAACATAAATTACAGCAACTACGCACAAACAAATAAGAGGTTCCTGGAGGTTTTAAAATAAAAATAATTTTAATACTGTTGCATTCTCAGTGACTAACATTGAACTTTTACGTTTATTTATCTCTAAAAGTACAATGCTTGACGAAATGGATTTGTACAAACCTTCCCGTTTTCCAAACGAGGCAAGTGCCAGCTTTGATAGCTTATTCGTTGTAAAATCAACGGACACACAGAAATTTAAGGTGGCGCTCACTTGTAACGATGAAATTCGCGTAAAACTATAAACAAATCATCAATCTAAAACGAAATTGAAACTGATACAAAGTTTGCTTTCATTAAGTAAACACGAAACTACTACAAATGTTCGTCTCTTGTTAACTAAGCCTTGCTTCTTCAATTTCTGTTCATTCGCTACAGTCACTGCACCTCCAATTTTCCATTGTGGGTTCAATATGTGGAGAGATTGGAGGATAATATTCAAAAGATCGAGTCCTCTCTGCAAATTAAATTTTAAATATCGTATTGTCACCACCAAACGCATAGTTTCCGTTCTAAATAAACCACTTTTGGATCTTAGTTTCGTCCTCACCTGGTTACTCGATTAGAATGATCATAACATGAAGCCATAGGAAGCGTACTCTGCCGTTAATCTCAAATCGCGTGTCTAGTAATGTGAATTCTTCGCAAACAAGCAATTGGTTGATCTCAAGGACGACTCGAGAATGAATACAAAATGGTGATAATTAACTAGGAAATGCGCCTTGCGTGAGTGGTAGTGTTCGAATTTTTTCCGTTTGAGTACAAGAGTACGTTAGATAAACCTCGGTCAAAGTTGTATTAAATTTACTGGTTAGCTTAGGAATTAAAGAGCTGTTATTCCTACCTTAACATTCAAGTTGAAGTGAGAAATATCTTGATAAGTTTGACGCTGCAAACAAGCGGCTGGGATACTTGAACGAATATCCACGTATTACCACTGCTCCTCTATACGTCAGTATCTTCGAGGATTTAATGAAGTATAGAAAATGGTGGCTGAAACGTAAGAGATCGTGCACTGCCACGACTTCAAAGGTCGGACGGATACACCCCTAGCAACGGGAGAGTCCCTTCGTGAACAACGCATTTGAGCCTTGCAAAATTCAAAGCCAGGTGAGAAGTTTCACTAAGCATGAGCTGACTTTGGATATCATACGGTGCTAGGATATAAACAAATTGACGAACACAAACTTAAAAATGCTGTAAATACCAAGAAAATAGACTGAATTAGAAAAGTAAAAGGATCCCGTTCAGACAATGACGTCATATTCTAATTCATTCAATACGCTAAGGACAGGATCATGCAGAGCCCCTAGAAGGACATCAACCAAATAGTTTGAGATGTAAAGAAACAACTTATAAGATGACTTAGAACTCGTCCAGGACAACTTATATAAGTCAGTAGTGCTTTTCACTCGTCCATGTCAACTTATAGGTCGAATTATAACTTGTCATGTCGACTAATAAGTCGACTTATTACTCGTCAAAGCAACCTACAAGTCGACTTACTCGTCCATGTCGAATTGTTAGTCGACTAATAACTCTTCATGTCGACCAAAAAGACGACTTATGGCTCGTCCATGTCGACCTCGACTTATAACTCGTCCTACTCCGCCTTCAAGGATCTACATCCGATGGGAGGCTGGGAATCCGTTTCAAGATGGAGGACCGAAACCATCTTGTTGAACATTACTCAAATCTGGAATATCAAGAAAAGGAAATTCTATCATGCCTTCTACTGATATATAACCAGAACCTGAGTTCCAGGCACTTGAGGTAAATACTTGCACGGAGAGGTTCAACGTGAAGGAAACATGTATCCAACCTATTAACAGTCATAAATCACATAGAGAGAGAGCTTCAATCCACTGGACGTAATATCGGTTATCGGTCTATGTGGCAAAGACTCGTGGTCGACCATGACCTGGTGGTCGCTAAAGAAACTGTAAGACACACGCAGAGAATTTTGGATCTAGAGGGTGTTAAGACTGCAAAGACGTCAATACAAAGGGAGACGTCCGAATTTCTTATGGCACAATAACGGTTTTGATAAGCTGAAACCGTTTGGATTTTGCATACACGGGAGAATAGATGGCTGCAATAGAAGAATTGTGTAGCTTGAAGTGGGTATTTCAAACAATGAACCAGCCTTTGAAGCAAAATATTTTGTGGGTTGTACTGCAGGTATTGTCCGACCTGATTTGGGTACAGAAAACACTTTCCTTGCAGGTATCCAACGGTTTCTGCGCAACAATTCCTGGGACTCATTTTCCAAAGAAAAGAGCTTTATGTATGGTTGCTCAGTATCCAATCAGAGGATAGAGGCGTGGTGGTGTCAGCTGCGAACGAAATGAGCAAAGTGGTGGATGGAAGATTTCAGAGAGCTAAGAGAAAGTGGTCTGTACCAGTTCATGTAGAGTGTCTCGGATTTTGTTACATGGATCTAATCAAGGATGAACTTCATAGATTTGCAAGACTTTGGAACAACCACCGATTCACACCATCAATCAACTGCAAGTCTCTCTCAGGCCGCCCAGATTTGCTATATTATCTTCCAGAGATATCAGCCATACAGAATTTCCTTGTTTCCATTGACAACGATGAAATCAGCCTTTGTGAAAAGTAACTGTGTGACATGAGCTGTACCAGTTTTAACTGCAGCGAGGAACTTTTGGAATTAGCAACCATCCTCATGAATGAGGAAAACTTGATGCTACGCAGAGACCCCATGGAGGCAAGAATTCCTTATTTATCATTGACCGATCACATAAACGATTTGTAAAAGCCTTCATCCAAAGAACAGTTTGGTGTTTACCAATAAAGTAATATCTGACGGAACTTCTGGTAGCCATTTTGAATGTCCGGGACAACAACGTTCTTGTTGTTGTGGCACCATTCATTTTTTTCATGGGGTGGGTAGGGAGCTGGTAAGATTAGATAGACAGAGCCTCAAATATATAATGACCCACTTTACATCAGACATTTTAACCCTGGAGTTTGGCCTTAATAGGGATTAGATTTCTTAGTCGCATGAGGACAGCAATTATTTGACTGGCCTTCTTGCACGCTGAGTTTACATGTTCAGAAAAATTAATCTGGAATCTATTGTTACCCCTAAAAGTTTGAGAGTTTCCGCGGTCTTAATTTCCTCATTATTTATGTGGATCCCTCCGCTTGCTCTTTCAGAGCCAGTTGTTTCCGTTCGGTAGCCGATGTTCAACGTCTGGACTTGTATCAACTAGTTGCCTGATCTGCACTTGCACTTAGCTTAGATGTGACCTCTTCTTGATTATGACCACTATGATACATATTTACGTTGAAAAATTATGCACAAAAGACAAGTGCAAAACCACATGCATTTCATTCAGCCGCTCATTTGCTACGGTCCTGTCTTAGCGACGTTTCGCTAAAAATACCAAAACATGAAGCAAATCATAAATTAACATTCATCGGTCAAAAATAAAAGAAAAAAAAATCGTCAACGCAGAAACGCACAACTTGAAGTACTTGTGCCATATCGACTGGATTCGAACTTTCTTTTTGGTTAAATGCGTTCAAATTCAGCAGCCATTCCTAAATTGTGTCTGGCAACATTTTTGATTGCATTGACTATATATGAAGCAAAAACTATGTATTGGAAAAAATGTACGTTTTTAGTATGTGGGGTAAGTTAACAACATCCTCCTCGATGAACCTTAAACCACGTTCTGCCTCAGTTCAGCACGTTTTAAAATCGACTGACTTTGAGTTTATTAAATGTCTGAGTCCTTTAGGAGTTAGCTTCTCCTAGATTTGAGAGATTCCTCGATTTCTGTTTCTTCGCTCATGCGAGCCATGTCAGCTGCATCCTTTCCGATCCACTTTCAAATTGACATCAGCGTTGAGTTCAACTAGCTTTTTTACAAGTTGAATGGATCCATGTTTCTGTCAATGGATCCATGCGCTCCACAGACGTTGGCACTAAACTTCTCATTCCTATAAATAAATAAAAAAATAAATAAACTTTATTTACACAGGGTAGCCCATTCAGCTCTAAGGCTGGTATCCATAGAGGCTCTGTTTCTTAAAAATAATTTGCATCAAATTCTCAATTATATATATACATGACTAGAATTTTAGAACTACATTAACAGCCTAAGACTACAAAGCCAAAACACAATAAAGACCTAAAATAGTAGAGAAAATATCAAAGTTAAGATAAAAAGAAATGTCTTGCTCGGCGGCAGAACCTTTTAATGTTTTCAGTCTTCACAATATTTAGAGGGAGTTTACTAAAAGTTTCTGCGCCAGTAAAAAGAAAGGTCCTTTTCCCAAAATTTTGTTTTACTTTTGGTAGAGATAGCCTCATACTTTGCCTTGTGGAATAATTGTGAACATTCGATAATCTGGTAAAATATGATGAAAAGTAACGAGGAACTAATGAGTGAAGACAGAGAAAAACGAGTTTAGCCTTGTGGTAGTAGCGTCTACTGGAAAGAGTCGGCCATTTCAGCTGCTCTATTGCTTCAGATGAGCGAGAGCAACGTGTAATAATCCGTGCAGATCTATATTGTAAGCGCTGTAGTCGATCTATATCTTGCTGTAGAAGGTTACTCCAGGCAATGTGACAGTAATCAAATAAGGGAAGAATTAAAGCATTATGAACAAGTGTTGCTGCCTCTTTTGTGACCTCCTATGGCGACGTCACATTTTTCTAAGAGTGAAGAAGAGAAGCCCACTGTAACGGAAACATCTCATGAATAACATCAGAAATAATAACGTATCTGACTTTGACATCTCATATGCAAAACAGACAAACACGAACAACTGATTACACTGTGAGCCCAAGGTTTGTTTTGTTTCTATATGGAAAAAAAAAGACGCAAAAAGACGTTACTTGTGATTTATCTTTCCGCGCAGTAAGCAGTTTTCTTAATCGAGTACCGCGTGTTACCCTAACTCGCCCTAGACCTTGTCATTTCGCACTTTCAGTGTGGCTTGGCATGTCAGCGTGACGGTTGCGTGATTTCTAATAAAGCCATCTACCTTGTTCTCCTCGTTTTTTTTCTGTCATTAAAACAAATTTGTTTTCTTGCAGTTACACAGACAGATGCCGTGGACTTTAAACAAACTATCATATGTGCAGGAAGACTCGTTTCCACAAAACAAGATAGCACGAAATAGGATTAGCGGAGAAAAATCAGAATTTGACAGTTATTCAGCAACCAACACATTCGGCATTGGTTTGCAAGTTGTTCCTCCACACGACTGGAAATCAGATGAGGTCGATGGTGCCAGCTTTGTCAAGAATTCTGCGGATACATCTAAAAAGATGGCATCGGTACAGTGGGACGATGGAACTCGCTGTGTTCACAATGCAACCTGTAATGATGTCAACGATCCTTGTATTTTTCATATGTCTTCTTTGGGTAAGTGGGTGACTTTGCTACATTATATTATTTGTGGCATTACACTTCTTTTCAAGGTTTAAAAAACATGACTAAAATCAAATAAAGAAGCTCTGATTGGTGGCAATAAGTTCCATATGACATACTTCCGCTTTGAGAAAGTAAAAATACAATTGCAAGACAATTTCGCCGGAGGAAATCATAGCGTATTTCAGTTTGATATCAAAAGTCGTATATCATTTTTACCTCATGATATAGATCTTCTTTTCAGCTCATTTAAGTTAGTGATGTATTTGAACATCTGACTTCAAAATACACCAATTAGCGGCCGAACAATGTTTTGGTGTCGACAAACATAAATCTTGAGAAGACGGAATATTAATTAGAAGCTGCATTAACACGCCATTGGTAACTTTGTAATCTTTCTCTCAATCTCCAAGGTATAAAACATGAAAGCGTCTTCTGCCATACATGCAAGCAAGACCCAATTCTTGGGATCCGTTGGAACTGCCTGGATTTCAAGGATACGTCGGTGAACCTGTGTTCATCTTGTTACATGGCCGATAAACACAATACAGACCATGCCTTCTGCAGATATAATTCCGCCGATGACAAAGGGTGGGAACAAAAATGATTTAATTTATTTAGACTGGATTAACGACAAGAATTGATTTTGTCGTAGCAAGCATAGAAATAACTCTGAAGCGAAAATATTCGTCATATACATGTCATCACCTCAAGCGCTGGTTACAGACTGTGTTGCGTGACGAACCAAACAAAGGCTGTGTTAAGAGACTCTTCCTAAATGCATCGAAACATTTTTCAAGTTTTAAGTTGAAGTAGTCTTTAGTGATTTGTAACGGGAGAAAAATGTCAAGTGAGGGCAGAATTGATTTTAACCAAATTCGTTAATGATGCGGACGTTCAGTTGATTGCGGAAGTTCAGTTGATTATTAGTCAGAGAATCGGAAATGTTATTTACAAATTTAAGGTTTTGTAATCAATTATAACCTGTGCCTACATTCCATGTGTTTGTTTTCATAAGAGTTCAACTTCTGATATTGTCAGCTTGCTTCGGTAAACTACAGCTTACCAGAGTACATAGATATAGTTACGCATGATAGCCTTGGCAATCTGTACTCTCATTCAGAGAAACTACGCATTATCTTATCTCTAAGTTAAATAGAATAAATGAACACGGGACAAAAGGTTAAATTATAGTTGTTATCCCATAACAAATATGCTAAATCTTTCTAAATGAAACTTTTAGTCACCAAGAAGTTACAGTCATTAATCCATTAATGTGAGTTTCTATTGTCTTTCTGTTGATTCATATATTTCCAGTCATTTCCTATCAGCCTAACCAAAGTCTTGCCATCAAGCTCTTTTTCCTGGGTGGTTTCCAATTCTTAATGCTCCATGTTAAAGTGTTTTTTTATCCTGTAAAATACCCAGAATTCGCATGGAGAGAAGAATTAACACAGTGGCAATCCATGCAAGAGGCATCTTCCCAGGTGCACGAGTTGTAAGGGGTCATAACTGGGAATGGAAACTCCTCTGGAATAGTGATAAATATAACATGTTAGTGTGGGAGCAATACCATTGCAGGTGACGTTTCATGGGAAGTTGGTGAAAAGGTACCTAACGACTGGGTCATGATGGAGAGGTGGGTCACAATCTTGCTCAAAAGACAGTTTTCTGGAAAAACTGTATCAAGGATCACTAGATCACCGGATCACCGGATCAAGAATCACTGGATCAAAGATCACTGGATCAAGGATCGAGGATTTGTGCTGATTTTGCCTATATACGTATCTGGGCCAAAGGCTCTATGTAACCATAACTGTAGCATTTTCCCACAATGTTCAAAAGCTGGATCAAAAGTCAATGCAGGATCACTGAGTTTGAGCTAGCTTAGAGTAAATGACAGGAGAAGTGGGCTCATACCATACACATTCCTATATCCTCCTTTGTAAAAGTAAACTTGAAAAGCACATAAATTCACCACTATTAAAATAAATTATGGGGGTTTTCTTCCTCAGAATGGTTAGTACACATGTTTTGAATTTATTCCTTGGCGGTTTCCAACTCTTAATGTTATTTGTTAAAGTTTTTGTTAATATCAATTTATCCCATTTATTTGTATCATTTTGATCCTTGATCCTTGATCCTTGATCCTTGATCCTTGATCCTTGATCCTTGATCCTTGATCCAATGATCCAGTGATCCTTGATACAGTTTTTCTGGGAAGCCCTCAAAAGGCTTGAATCACTTCTGTGAATGTACGCATAAATGACGATCATTTTTTTACGATGCATTCCCTCACCCCTTCCCCCTGCAATGTAATTTGAATATCTTTTGTGCTTATCCATGTTCTGGCAGTCTCTTCTACAAGTCTCACCTGCCATGACTCAGACCTTCTCCACAGACATCACTTGGCACGGAATAAAGCCCAGACCAAACCGTTACAGGGTCGAATTTAAGCCCTTCAGCAGGTGAACAAGAAAATTTGGATCATAACAGCATCTAAGCTGAAAGCCCTATGAAACTGTAACCATAGCATTCGCCCAAAATGTACAAAAGCTGGTTCAACGCTCAGTGCAGAATTACTGAGTTTGAGTCAGCTTATAGTAAATGACTGAAAAAGTGGGGTCATATCCATACAGCTTGCTATATCCTCCTGGGTAAAAGTAAACTTGAAAAGCACATAAAATTACCACTATTAAAATAAATATTGGGGGTTTTCTTCCTCAGAATGTTTAGTACACATTGTATAGAAAATAATTATGAAAAGTTTTTAATTTATCTGTATGTTAAAATTTTATTCTTTTTTATCACAAGTTCTTCTTACAGGAATCTTTGAATACATTGTTGCATTGGTGGATGATTCAACTCCTGACAGGTATTTGGTGAGTTTAAAGCTGCTTACACCCCAGCCTATACATGTAAATATAGAATGCTTGATAATGGTATTGATTTATATATTGATAAAGCAATGTACTTATCCAACAAAACATACCAGCTTACAGACTGAGACCAAAAAATAACTTAAAGGTTCTGCAATTTTTATAGAAATCAAATAGCAGAACACAGTGGGAGGTAGGAGTGGCTGAGTGGTTAGGGCACTGGTCTTGAAATCTGGTGATTCTGGGGTTTAAGCCCTTTGTCTTGTTGTTTGTCTTGTTTCTTGAATTAGTGTAACTTTGGTTTTTTCTGGCCGTTTTGTGCAGATTGGCACTTACATGGGATTTGCCATCACAGCTTGTATTCTAACTGTGTTCATGTTCATCACCTACTGTATTGCTCTGGTAGACTATTCTCATATCAGTAGCTGCAAGAATTACCATTACAGTTACTTCAATGGTTATATTGGTTGAGATTTTCATTTTTACTTCTGGTTGTCAGACGGTAACCAATCAACAAGTGACATACATTCCAGCCTGGGTGGCCTGCATTTACAGGACCACAGGGAGGCCTGGTTATCGTTCAGCCCATTGGAAGAGTGACAGCTTTAGCACTAGCTTTCCCTGCAGTAGCCCAGCCTCAAGTTTATGTTCAACAGCAAGTTCATATGGGTTCTATTTTGAAAAAAAGATAGTGGTCTCAAATAAGGGTGAGTGCTAGTTACTTTCAAGTTTGCAGTGTCAAAACTCGTTCACCTAAAATTGCCAAAAATCTAAATAGAATAAGAAAGATGGTAAGTTTTGGAGAAATGGAGAAAGATGTTTTTTTTGTCTTGTCATGAGCATGGGACAAAGAAAAAATTATACTTGTTTGTTTTTTTAAACTTGATTTTATTTTGTGATTGTGTTTTTTTGTTTATTTGTTTGTTTGTTTGTTAATTTTCATTTGTTCTTGTTTACTTTTGTCTGCTTCTGTTCAAATCTGTTTCTTTCTTTCTTTCTTTGCTTTTCTTACTATGACAAAACTCAAACAAGTTTATATTCTATCAAAAACAAGGATATGATGCTAGTCTATCACATAGTAGTGTCTAGTTAAGTCTAAACCAAATAGATTTATCCTGTTCATATAGAATACTTCACGGAAAGTCTGTCTGTATAGTTTTTACGCACCGGTGGTAGTAACGGAAATTGAATAACATGAAGTCTCGTTACTAACTTTTTTCATCCATTTGGAAAGTGCGCCATTTAATTACCTAAATACAGGGCCTAAGTCAATACAGTTATAATAAATATCTTTTTAACCTAGCACTGCAAAATTTGCCACACAACAGCTTCTTTATTTTTCATTTTTCTGCGATTTGATCGGTTACTTTAAACAACCTTTGAAATCTAATGGATGGTTTTGTCTTAATGTTTCCTTCTCGTTGCCTGGCAGAACATAATAAGCAAACCATGTGCACTTCATGAATGAATTGCATTGCTGAGAGCCAATCAGATTGCAATGAGCTATAGATTTAAAAGCGGATGCAAAAAAAGGTTTTAAACACTTGTTGTAAGTCGATTACATAACTTTGAGGCCCGTTCATGTGTGTGCCATTTATGAATCAAAAACCTGACATTGACACTGATTTCTATTTTTAACTTCATTACACTCACAGTCTGGGGTAACCATCCAACAGCCTGCCTACTGGGCTGTTCCCCCTGGGTCCAGCCTGGTACAGTGACTGTGACACACGCAAGTGCTCTTGGTCCACAGACACAGACTCAAATACAATCTCAGGTATGCAAAATATTAAGTAGCTTTTCTTTCACAGAACAACCTCCAAAAACTTTGCACACCCCTAAATATTTTCCAAAAATTCTTTTTTTCCCTAAAAACACTGGAAATAGATAAACGCATTCAAAGGCGACAAAACGACTCCGTTTTAAAAGCCAGACCCTTTTTTCACCGCAAATTTTGCTGAATTTTTAACCTCGAATGCCTGAGCCCTGTGTTATTGACCGTCTACCTGTAACGTAGCCTTTCGTTATTCAGTTCTGCCGTTGGTGAATAGGCTGCATGAACAGCATAACCTACGAGATACAACACAGTGGTCAAACGTAGGGCATGCGCAAGGGGATAAATTTTAGCCGGCCGAGGGCCAATTTCCCGCGCAAAGTTCAGAGGAGACGTAAGAAAAACCTCTGTCACGCCAAATATGTGAAACAAAGAAACAAATGGTACGTTCACGTAAAGCTGTAAGGAGATATCGAGACTTTTCGAACACAAAGCTTATTCAAGTATGGGCATCTTATTGATTTACCATTACGTTTTGAGCTTTACCAAGAAAGGTTTTCAGACGTTGCCACTTACTCGCTTGTATGATTGTCGGTAAATGGGTATCATTCATCAATTCCCGTACAAACCTAACTTTTTTTTAACGTAGAGTTCTCTCGCTGATGATTGTTGCTGTGTTTATAAAGATAATATTCCGTGATTCAACTCCCGCACAAGCCTGATTTTTTTTAATAGAGTTCTCTCGTTGATGATTGTTGCTGTGTAGATAAAGATGATATTCCGTGATTCAACTCCCGTACAAGCCTGATTTTTTTCACATATACACCTCTCCCTTGGTTTATGTATAAAATTTACCTCAGTGGAAAGCTTGATCGTGCGGTCCTGAGAAGTACTGCAATCTCTGACATTTTATCGTCAACTAAAAGTGAATTTATCACCACATCTGGTTTTATATTTGGGAAAGTTGTCTCCCAAAGCGCTCAGAACATGAGCTTCGGCCAAGATCTTTCTTTTTTGAATTAATTAGCGGTTTCAAGTGCCTTACGACAGTCACTTTTCTAAAAACGTCACGTGTAATTTAAGTTTCTTTTTTCTTCTGCCCACAGACGCTAGTTACTGATGAGAGGCCGCTACCTTATGCCGCATATACGCAGACGAGTAATCCTTCAACCTTGAGGTGTTTCACTTGATGCTACCCCGTGTGGACTGATTGATATTTGAGTCTATGCGGTGATGGGGCATAATTTATTTTGAAAGTTTCTGTAAATAGCCGACCGAGCATTAAGTGTAGCCTTGTAAAGGACCATTTTATCTGAACTCGACAAATGGGTTGCCTGGAATTGTCGCCTTTTTATATAAAAATAATTTTCATTTTGGTTATCAAGTTGAAAAAGAATTATTTTAAGTTTTGTTCCAATAAGAAGGCTGTGGTCTCCTAATGGTAAATTGTCTTTCTCCATTACCAAGATTTATTTAACGAGAAACAGGACCTTTGCAAGCTCGTTAGCTCATCTTCGTAGCTCACTTCTTCGTATGGAAACAGTATGATTTGAGCTATGAAAATTGTGGCTAAGTGCATGGGATGTTGGTGATCAAGCCAGCCAGGTCGACCAAGCTCAGTTGTAGAGACCCAGTCCTTCAAGTGTCTTCCCCCCCCCCCCATGGTGTTAGGAGACACTTAAGACAGAAACGGTTGTAACCCAATTTTTTTTGTTTGACTGCAACTCCTAATGGTTAGTATATTTCAGTCAACTCAACTAGCAGTCGTTTACTGTTAAAATTGTCCAACGCTGCCTGACCAACATATGTATCCTTTTTTTTCCTTCCTTTTCTTATGACACAGCGTATAACACTGTGAATTGTTGTTTCCGAGCGTCAATATCCTTGTAACCTGTTCCGTTCATTTAATTTGTGAGTAAAGAGCAAAAGCGGGGCGAATGACAGAAAAAACAAAGGGGGGAGGGTAGAATGAGAACCCTGCCAATATTCTCTCGACCAAAAATGTATTTGTCTCCACTAACAGGAGAGCTTGGCAGAGGCTAGTATGCGTCAAGGACCCGAGAGGAATCTTTTATCGCCCTAAATATACTCTTTGTTTCCGTTCGTAGTAACAATCCTTAGCATATAGTCCGTGATTATTTTGAAGTTGTGAGAGAGTGGTTGTAATGTAGTGATTTTTATTTTAGAAATAGCACAAGGCTTGGTATCGAATATTAAGCGAGAAGAAATAATTAAATCTTCTTAGATGAAACGGGAAGAGGGAAGGATTTCCTTTCTTAGTAGTCACAATTTATGCTGAAACGTTAAAGTATCTTCTGAAATTGTAAACCCTTTGCTTATTTATTGAAGATAAGTCCTACATATTTCGTACAACTATTCTCATCGAATCATTTGCGAAATTTAAGATTAGTAGGAGCCTGGTGCTAATCTTAACTTTGCGATACTTTGGCGTTTTGTGTACATTACGAGAGATATCCTTTTCATTAACCTCGTTCCTGGTAGGCTTTTCGCTTCTAGCGGTTGTTCGCCCTTCCCAACAGGGCGCTGGGTGAACAAGATCGAGAGTTCGTTGTAAAAAGTTTGATGTTAGAATTTATTATTTATTGAATTTTTCCCCGATTGATTATTGTCATAACTTATTTTGCAGAGTGACAGAGTGATCATGTATTTATAGCATGCCCCATCCGTCTAATAAAGATGCCAATGCACGCAACTCTGAATACTGTGATATTTATTACAGACGTAGAGTTAAGTTGAAATGAAGACTATCAATTAGGACTGTCCGACCTACACCTTGGCTGCTTTTATATCCAGTGTCGAGCAAATATTAGCGGAGCTCGCGGAGCGTAGCCCCATAATTATACAAAATAGTAGTAACCCATCAAGCCGAAAAAATTTGGACGTGCGACCGTACGACCGACCGTACAAGGTGCTACTTTTAACATGCGTGGTCAACTGTACTGCGGGCACGCCAATGCCACGGCTTTGTTCAGTAGTCCAGTAGTCAGTGCACTGGGCTCCGAGTCGGACGACCCGGGTTCTAGTCCTGGCCGGGGCAAGGCGTTGTGCCCTTGAGACGTGCGGAAAAAAAAATGCGAGCTCCGCTTTTAGGCTTGGTTAAATCTATATATTAAATTACCATCTATTGGTTTAATTTAGAGTGTGGAAGGTAATACGGAATCACATCGGTTTTGTCCTTCCACTTTCTGTGATTGCTCAACAAACCCACTTCATCCAGTTAGAAGAAAAAGCCCGGAATCAATCGCGAAATGGTTACCCGCGTTTTCCCACCCTTTGAAGCTTTTTGATGTCTTTTCTTTGGGCTCTGATTGGTTCCTTTTGGATGTTGTTCTTTGTTCCGATTGGATTTTAGTTCTGGATTTTTAAAGATTTTCCGAGCCTCGAACACTGCTTGAGGATATACTGTCGAAGAGGCTAAGTGAAAAAACTTTCATGAGGATAAGTAGTACTCAAGTTTTTACTTTCTGAAAAGAGCAAAGATATTCAGCCTCTTTCGTTTCACAAGAACTGAGAAGTACTGTGAATGAACACCTACAAGAGTTGTTTACAGCTACTGTCAGGATTTTATGATAAAGGCACATGTCTAGATTTTTGTGTATTGCCCTAACCTCGTATCGTGAATTTGTCTCTCTCACAGCTTAAAGCCAAACAAAGCAATGGTGAAAACTACATTCTATGATTTTTTTTGCTCCCTAGCTTACGCAGAGGCTATTTAAAACGGATTTAACTTTAAGTGAAGAAAAATAATTTGTTAGAATCTCTAGTTGCTAATTAACTTTCAAGCTCTCATGTTGTATAATCGAGTTATATGTCAACTGATATAGGTACGTTGAAAAATTAGGGTAAAACAAATTAATTCACAAATGTACAATAGATAAATGTAACACCTCATGATTTTCATTAGGCCGCTTTGTAGACTTAACTCCAATTTTTGCAATCATTTACTAAAAGGTTTTTTTCCGGGAGGTACCTTCACATATTTTGGTATGTTTCCTTAGCCTCGCATCGTAAACTGCTAGATTCCATGCTTGATCAATTTGTTTTCTTTTTCTTTTTCTTCTTTTTTTTTACTTCTTAGGTTATTTAGAAGCTACTTCAAATTGATTGCGAACTACACAAAGAAAATTATTTTTCTTTAATCCCTATTTGCTACATTACGTTGTGTAAATGCTCGTTGAATCGATTGTTATATCAATCATCTGTGCAGGCGACATAGTCAGGGTATAAAACTTTTACATATGTACAAAACAAAAGTGAATAACTGCACGATTTTCACATAGCCGTTCATCTGCCACTTTCTCAATCAACGTTTCTTCAAAATAATTTCAAAATCAAATTAACATTGAGTGATCCAAAAAATTAATAAAATGAATTTTGGATAACACGGCGATGGAAATAATAGTGTCATACAGTTATGAATTGAAGACGATGATCTTGCCGTATAAACAATTCTTGTTTGCGCTGATTATATGTAACACAAAGATCGTGTGCTGAAGAGTCTAAAATAATGGTGAATGGCGTAAGTTAATTGAACTTTTCCTCGAGGAACTTTAAGCCATGTTCAAGGTACCTTAAGCCTTGTCCAGCCCTTTAATGGCAACTTCTAAAACCGATTGACTTTCCGCCGGTTGAATTTCCGCAGATTTACTTTCCGCTGATTGACTTTCCAGCTGACATTGCGCTGATTGACTTTCCGAGTCTCTTTCGGGAAGGCTTCTTTTTGGTTTAAGATACTCCTCAATTTCTGTTTCTTCGTTCATGCGAGCTAAGTCAGCCGCATCCTTTCCATTGACTTTCAAATTGACATCAGCGTTGGTTTCAACTAGTTTTTTAACTACTTGAATGTTGCCATACATTGCTGCCAAATGCAGTGGTGTGAAACCGTCCGCGTCAGGGGCGTTTATATCTGCTTTGTGTTTCAAAAGCAAATCTACAATCTCGAGACTGGCACTTTTGCTGGCAACATGAAGAACGGTCGAACTTTGTGTTTCAGGAAAGGTATCACCCATTTCATTGACATTCTTCCGTACTGCCTCTGGAGGATCCTTTCCCCATCCACTCCTGAGGACGAGTCCAAAGTCTGCTACGTCAAGACTACCACCCTTAGTGCGCCTTAAGAACAAGGGCTCTAAACCTTTCGCTACTAGGACATAATGCCAGGCTGGTTTTCCTCTGTCCTTCCCACGAACAATGTAAATTCTCTCACTTGCGTTCTCCTTGTATTTCATATGCACATCAGCTTTGTTTTCAAGTAAATATTTTACTATGTATTTGTGTTTATTTTTGACCGCTAAGTAAAGCGGAGATTGGCCTTTGTTGTTGCGCACGTTGATGTCGCATCCTGAATCAATTAGTAACCGAAGGACACCGAATTGTCCGTTAACTACACATTGATGCAATTGCAGATTTTCTGAGATATTTAGAAGACCCACATCGGCTCCATGCTTTAAAAGGATGTCAACGGCCATGTAGTTGTTGCCATAAACTGCCAAACACAAAGGTACAACCTTGTCGTCCGTCCTCTGAGCATTTAGGTCAGCTCCAAGATCAATGAGGGTCTTGATAAACTCACCAGAGGCTGATGGACTTGCCCAAAACAAAGGTGTACGGTTACTTTTTCCTGGGGTGTTTATATCCACACCCTCGTTTAGAACAAGCTCGACAGCCTTTTCTACATCATTGTCGGCTCGACACAAATGCAGCTCAGTTAATGTATCGACCTTTTCACAGTGTTCTTTGTACAGTTTATCTATTTTAACATATCCCTCTCCTTTATCTTGGAGAGCCGAGAGAATCTCTGACGCAGTTTTTCCAGGAAATACCTTTGCTTGGCTTCCTGTTTTTTTACAATACATGTCTGAAACATGATCATCAAGGAACCATCGAGTATTCCAAACTGTGTTATAGTCGCCATGAAATACAGCCGCCTGCAGTTGATTGAAGCCGGATCGTGCATCTACCCGGAAAAAAGCTTTCCTTGAAAGGGACTTTAGGCTAGGCTGTAATGAAAAATAATGTAACGTAAATAATGGAAACAAATAAAGCGCTAATTGAAAACATCTATTACAAATGAATGAAATGATTTTAAATTAAAATTTTATTCAAATAATCAGATCATCTAAATGTTTCTGTCTTGTTGTACACTGATATAACTATGATTTATTAAGACGAGTTCCCCACAGATTTCAAGCTAAGATTTAGTCCATAACTTGAAGGTTATTGTTAAAATCAGAACGTAGTAATGTTGTATCATGCCCGTTGGCGAACGAGACAAAAAGATTGTACTCTATTTGAATCCTGTACTTCTTACGAATATTTCAAATTTACATTCGTAGCGCATGTTCGACAAAACAAAGGCAACCAAATGAGCCAAAGGAGTGGGAAAATCAGTGGGAGTTGATAACTACTAAAGCTTTTACTGGAAATAACTAACTGTTTGCTGAAAGCCATGCAAATCAATTAACCATCTAACTCCCAAGATCTGATGGTTAATTCTCCCCTCTAGCTGCTCTATATTTCCTTGTAAACTAATAAAGGGGGTAAGTTTCTAAAGAAACTGTGGTGCTGCGTCGGTAGGACAATTTAACAGGTCAATTTAGTATTATCAAACGAGTTAGCCCTTCGTCAGAGCGATGGAACAACGCTCTTAAAAAGAGGTAACGCTCAAAACTTCAACTTTTTAACTTTTTATGGTGGCCCATTTACGTTATCAACTCAGTTGACAATACTAAATTTCCTCGTAAATTAGTTACAAGAATTTGGTTTTAGATCAAGACAACAACTTCCTGATAAGTTTGAGTTTTACCATGACCCGTTTGGTGGATAATGCATGGATATTATAGGGAGAAGTTACATGTTGATCGCTTCTGGTAGTTAAAGGATTAACCTGAGACAAATGAACACAACAGGAAATAGAAGGACCAAATAACACCTGTGAAGCGAGCTGGGAAGCTAAAGGCCTGGAGACAAACCACACTACGTGCATTGCTTGATCTAAATGCCTTAACCTATTCCCACTCTGTGGGGTTACAATTCTCGGACGTAGTACACTTTATCACCGTACCGGTTGGTTGTTATTGAAAGTCGCATCATTCCTCATGAGCAGCCCAGCTACGTATCGGTGATTGTTGCGATCAGCCTTTTGTAGAGCTGTTTTCTGAAACTGAGAGATAAAAAGTTCACCTCGGTCAAAACAAGACAGTTACTATAAACCACTCTAGAAGACGAGCATTCCTAGAAATGGGAAAAGTATGACTGCGGATAATTTTCGAAACGTATATGTGACTCTCTGGAAAATTAAACCGTGTGCCTTATAATTGATACTAGTATTTTCGACATATTGTCAAATACATAGACACGAAAGGACAGCAACTTACACTATCTACAGCATTGACATTTGCACCGTGCTGTAACAGGAGTTTTACAACAGCTCCCTGACCGTACAATGCGGCAAGGTGAAGGGGCGTCGAACCAAACTGCAAAATAGAAGCAAAGCCTTGACTTAAAGTTTTAACCGATCAATCAAAACTATCAAAATAGAAAGAACACAGACACCGGAAAGTAAACAGGAAAAACCGGAAGATTTAGCAAACGACCTTATCTGTTTGGTCGACATCTTCACCACTTTCAAGAAGTGCTTTGATGACTTTGCATTGACCATTGATGGCAGCTTTGTGTAGTGCCCTTCTTGATAACTGTAAGAAAACGTGTGCGGAAATACATTAAAAATTTCAGTGGACTTTCCTAAACATAGCACAAATACAAATGTGCAGAGTATGAGTCAGATGTCAAGGATTTGAGGTGGTAGCGAGTACACCTTATGCTGGGAGCAAGCACGATGTAAATCAACCAAAATAAGAACAAAAATAATAAGAACATTTCTAAATCTATATATTGTAACGCACTGTGGCATTTTTCCACTACACTTGTTCATGTGGCTGAATCAAGATCAGACTAAAACAAAGGAAAACATCGAGTCGCCCAAATGTATCCCAAGATTACAGCTTCCCTCCTAATAAGAAGGAAAAATTGTCTAAAAATATGAAAAGAGGTAAAGTCCTGAACGGAAAAATTGGAGGGGCAACTTTCCTGTTTTTCTCCGTCTTGTTATAGCCTTTTAAAAATCAATCCCGTCATATATACCCTCAGCAAATTCTATCCATGACACCTTCCAACGGAAGTAATGTAACAGGAAGTCATCACGGGAAAGAGTACCGGAAGTCAAATGAACATTTGGGAGGGCAGAAATATTGTCCGATGGACTTCATGAGAATCCATCAGTCGGATGGAATCCGATTGAGTCCATCGGAATCCAGTGGGGGTCAATTCGTGTCCATCGGAATCACTGGAAGTCTAGTGGTAAACCTAAACTCAGACAAGTACGGTATATGAAAATTATGCCTCGTTCTTAAAGCCAATTAACGATACAGCTCATTTTAAGCGCGAATGACTTGAAAGATACCTTGTTTTTCGTGCCTTTAAGCGGAACAGCGCTTAACACAAATGCATTATACCTGAAATATGCCTCGTTCTAAGTTTCTCATCGTCGGAAAGTCGCTTATTCCCATGAAAAACACCAGATTATATTCGTGTCCATCGGACTCCACCGGACACCAATGGAAAACATTTCCGAGGTCTACCTATCGTTCCGATGGAAACACTCCATTCTATTCGTCACCATCGCAATCCAACGGACTCTGATGGAATACAATTTTGGGGCCTACCATAAAACCTAAGCACGATTTGCTCTTCGTATCAAAAAATCGACCACCCCGATGGAATCCACTGGATTCTATTCGTGTCCATCGGAATCCATTGAGTACCGATGGAAGAATACATGTCATCAATTTACTGACTTCCAGTGTATTTAATCATTCCAACTTCCGGTAGTATATGTCCATTTTTACCGATAGACTTCCGGTTTTCCAACCCTCAATCCCGTACAAAAGTAGTTTAAAAACCCGAATACATTCACCAGAACTTTTTGGCATTTTATTAGACAGGCAGACAGACAGGCAGACAGACAGGTAGACAGACAGGCAGACCTACAGACTCCTTTGTCTAGTTTCAAGGCTCAGGAAGGTCCTTTCAGATGCTTGAAATCAACCTGCCATTTAAAGGAGTCCTGAGCACAGTTTTATAAATGCCATATAAAAGGTGCACAAAATGAATTGTTACTTAAAATTGTTGGACTTACTTTGGCATTCTCAGCTCTAAGCTTGCAGTTCGAGTCCGGATACTTTGCCTAAAAATTAGAGATGCAATAAGGCAATAAATCAAATACAACGGTATTAAAACAAGGTAGTACCTATGATATACCCCATCTGAGAGGAGGCTACTGCAAGCAAGAATCCGGAATATATGTATGGCCTTAGCAGCTTTTTTTACGTGAAGAGTTTTCTGAGAACAAAGCTCAAGGAAAACTGTGAGATTCAAGCATCAGATAATGTCTAAGGAAAATTATATGAGTATGTCGTCGCGCCTAATAGAAGCTATTGTGTTTATTTTGCAACGCACGTGAAAAAAAAAAGGTTTACGAACAATTTTTTGTTTTCTGTGTGGGTTGTTTTCTTTGGAGTAATCTCTGCTACGACTTTATGAACAAAAAAAAATATCTTCTTCTGTTACACCCATAAAACGCTCCCTCATCTTGGGTTAGATTTTAAACGAAGACTTATCGTATTGGACGTAAGGTCTGAAATTGGGAAATATCACTTTGAGTGATATCTTCAGATATCCCCTTGTTTTAGCTGTGGAATATTCGGTCACGTGAAGCGTTTAGACCAATCGCGCGCGATGAAAAATATTTGATGGACCTTACATTTTCACCACAGTTATTTCACTACTAGTATCTGAAGGCAAAAGTGTCGTTAAGAGAGAATCCTAAATTCTTTGAGTGTAATTATCAGTAATGCTAAGATAACCTTTACCTTCGCTTCCAGGGTTTTTTCGAATTTGGAAGTGGCATTCGCAGATGAAACGCTAGATCTCGAAGGATGAGCACTCTTACTGCTTTCTTGCTTAAGAGTGATAGCTTTGATGTCTTAGTCATTTTGCAGGTACAGGAGCAAGTTGTAAAGAAAAATACAGAAAATCTTTTAAGTTATTTAATATAAAGGTTAACTCAAACCCTCGCTAACTCGAACCATTTTTGTTTCCCTCGAGAATACGAGTTAGCGGCGTTCTATTGTAGTTTGCAGAACGAGATCTTGTGATTTCAGGACTAGGTTACCACACTACCCTCAAAATTAGCTGATGTTTGATCTAACTCTGTAAATGCAACTCGACCACCAAAGAATCTGATAATAGTGAGTCATCTTAAAAGGGAATTTGTAGCAGGGAAAACGTAGGGTTTTCTGATCGAGTGTCAATTTGGGTGGACTGAGAATAAGTATAACGTTTCTGTATCCAGGTACCATTAATAAGTAACTTACCGCGTATCAATAGATGTCGTTGTCGAAGAACTTACCTTTCAGCTCACTTAAAACTTCGTTTTTCATTTCATCAATTTTGCTGACAAAACTGCGAAGCCAAACTCGGACAGCTTTCGTATCATTTTCTCTATTTCTTCCTTCGTTGGCTTGTCTTCCAATTTTTCTTCGATTGCTTTAAGTTTATCATTTTGAAACTGCGCCATTAGGTCTTTCACATCTTCCTCAACAATCAGCTGGAAACCTTGAAAAAATGTAGAAAATAAAAATAAATTAATGAATGGCTAAATAGAAGAACATGTAAATGAACAAAAAATATAAATAAAGAGATTCATGAATGAATGAATAAGTCGATCAATAAACAATTAAGTAATTAAGTAAGATAAACGAATGAATAAATGGAATGATGCTCTGTGCCCCTAAACACATTTTTACGATCTTAAGGTCTTCTTGGGCTGGACTAAGTCATTCACTATCCAAATTCTCGCACAGAGATTGATATAATAAGCGCGTCATCTTTTGAATGTTCTGTATGATGTTGCCGAATGTTATTAATTAAAATTTTTGTTTTCCATTTTGAAAGTTGATCCAAAAGCTCCTTCGTTTTGGCCACATCCAGAGGCAAACCTTGGACTAGCTTCTTAAGCTTGTCAAAACATTGGCCGAAGAAGATCTGTGTCCAATGACTCTCATCAAAATGACTTGCTCGATTCCTAACATTCTCTCTGACATCATCAGCCAATGACTGGATATTATACGAAGGATCAGACGAAAAGAATATTTGTATGGGGTAATTTTTACGCCCTAGTAATCTAAGAGTGGCACTCATATCCATAGATTTGTCGAATGCCGAGAACACCGCGAGGCAGTTTGGGAGGTACAGCCTGGCAAGATCAACTGGGCTGCTTACGTTGTAGTTGTAGGCCTTTTTTTTCTTTCCATGGACATCAGAATTGTTGTTAATATTTCCAAAATTTAAGCTTTTAAGAAAAGAAGCAGGACTCGGAGTAGCTGTCAGACGGCAAAAATCCGCGTAGGTCAGTGTTTTAAGACTGCAGGATGTCGATAAGCCATTGAGGAGATTATCTAGGTAGGTATAAAGATTCTCCATTCCTTGTTTCGCGATATCCGTCAAAACAGGGGCTAGAACCTTATTTAAGGTAACAAGAATCACAAGCCATCTTTTGTCGTTGCTGAGGACATCCATAATGATACGTTTCACTGCTCAATGAATCAAACACTTGGAAGGATCTGCAATCATTAAAATGACTGAAATTATTTTATACATATTGGTAGCTAGAGACAGATTCAATTCCGCGTTCTTTCATAAACTACCAAGTAGCATGTTCTGACGCTTTAACTTTTACCGTGTATACACGAGTGATATGGAACAAAATGGCGTATAATTCACGCACATTCAAATATGCAAATTCAAGAATCCAATAATTACAAATTTTGCAGCGACTATACACATACACATTACAAGGTTCCTAATTCTGAGTTACTAAAATTGAATTTGAAATTGAATTTAAATGTCCAGTTATCTGCTAAAAGATTGGACTTTGTGAACTGGATTGGTGCAAAGCTCCTCCAAGCTTACACAAATCATTTAGATTTCAACTTTGGAAATCAACCGACACAAGAACTGAGCAAAGAAATTTAAGGTGGCACTGATTCGCTACAAATTGGTTGGGAAGACACACCACCTTCTGCACCATGCAGTTATAAGAAGAGACGAGACAACCACTGAGCTAAGAGATGTTTATGACGCCTCAGCCAGATCTGATGGCGCAAGTTTGAATGAGTGTCTGTCCACAGGGCCACCCCTTGCAGAGAACATTTTTGACATATTCTTAAAGTTTCGAGCTAGCAGAGTAGCACTAACTGGTGATTTGGAAAAGGCCTTACACATGGTGGGTATCACAAAGGAAGGTAGAGAAGTACTGAGATTTCTATGGGTGGATGACATTGAGAAGAAGTTCCCAGAGATTTTGGTGCTTAGATTCACTAGACGTGTGTCTGGAGTATGTTCTAGCTCATTTATACTCAATGCAACTATGAAGTATCGCATTGAAAGGTACAGGATTGAGGATTCGGGGTTTGTGGACCAATTTATTTGCTCCATCTTTGTGCTTGACTTGAGTTCTGGAGCCGCTGACAGTGATGCAGCGTATGAACTTTTAGGTGCCCAAACTTACGACTGGCGGAGGGAGGATTTTACCTGAGGAACTTTGTGTCAAATTCCAATGAACTAACAGAGAGAATTCAGCCCAGTGAAGCAAGCATCTCAATTCCTACTTCATCCAAGAACACTGAACACACACCTGAAGATCTTACGAAGAAAGATGTGATTGAAGAAGACAAGACTTATGCTAAGGGTGTGCTTGGAACTGCAGAGAAGACATCTGGTGTAGAACAGAAGGTGCTTGACGTGTGGTGGAATTTGGACAATGATCAGTTTGTGTTTGATTTGAGAGAGACAGCAAACCTTGCAAGGATCATTGACCCTACCAAGAGAAATTTTGTCAGTGTTGCGGCAAAGTTCTATGATCCAATGGGATTCCTGTCACACATCATTATAGAGTTCAAGATATTCCTCCTAAGAACTTTTCTAGGCGAAAACTGGCTGAGATAAGATTCTAGAAGGAGAATCGAAAAGAGGGTGTCAAACTTTGGTTGCTGGATTGCAAGGAATAAGTTCATTCACACTGTCATGATGTTACTTTCAAGGAGTCAAGAAGGAGATTATCAATTGTAGCCTTCATGGATTTGGAGATGCTTCCAGGAAGATACCCGCAGCTGTTATTTTCCTGCAGATCATAACCACCATTGGAAGCTATGTAAAATTCCTAGCCTCAAAGTCCAGAGTTACTCCAGTGAAAGAAGAGACAATTTCTAGATTAGAGCTTCTTTCTGCTTTAATGGTAGCAAGACTGATACGTCATGTTGGCGAAGCCTCAGAGCCTGAAGTGAATATCAATGAGATAACCTGCTGGACCGATTCAAAGGTGGCATTGACTCGGATCAAGGACAAAGAAAGGGAATGGAAACCATTCGTCCAAAACCGAGTAAATGAGATAAGGACACTTGTACCAGTAAAACACTTAAGGCATCGTCATCGAAAGATCAATCCAGCCGACATCACCTCTTGAGAAAGAGGCCATTAGAGCTGTCAGAGTGTACCTTGTGGATTGAGGGACCCACATGGCTAACAGAAGGCGACGGATCAGAAAATGATGAGTTTAACAATAAACAGCTCCTACATGAATGTCTAGAAGAAATGAATGTTGGAGACGAGGAGAAATACAAGGTTGATACCTTGTCTTTACTATTAGTGACAGCTGAAGCCACTGGAATAGCTAAGATTATGAAGTGTGGAGATTACAGTGAATTACAGCGACTCTTAAGGGTCACTGGCCTTGTTCTCGAGTTTGTGAAACAAACGCAAGAACAGCTAACGAGTCAAGATATAGCAGCGGTAGAAACACTTCGGATCATGTAGATACAGAGATCCTTGAGCGAGAATCCTAAATTTGGGGACATCAGTTTGGCCTTTTTACAGATGACTATGGGATTTTGAAATTTATGGCACGTTTGTCACAGACGCAGTTACCCTCGTCATCAAAGCACCTAATTCTGTCGGACAAGAACCATCATAATTATCACATCCCTCTTTGTAAGAGAAAGCCACAAACGAGTGATGCATGGTGGTGTAAAGTCAAGCCTAAATGAATTGAGATCGAGATTTTGGATCGTGCAGGGCAGACAATTCGTGAGAAAGCTGTTGTATCAGTGCGTTGTATGCTGAAGACTTAAGGAAAGACTATACCAGGCGCCACCGCCACCACTTCTTCCAAAGTTCAGAATAAAGCTGGTTTTCAACGTTCTTGTGTCAGGGTGAACGTGTACGCCGTTAGAAACGTCTAAACTGAAAATGCTTGAAGCAAACTGCGGCGTAGCGTCGGTTTCACGGGGAAGATTGAGTTTGAAGTTAATTAAAATGAAACTACAGCGTATGTGCTTGGATTCTGCGATCGCCCGGTCATTTTGAGCTTGGATTTTTCGCTTCTCGGATCGGGCGTTCGGAAATGGAGGGTGTAGCCCTGGGCCTTTTTATGTACATAGTAGTAAACCTAGAAATGGATAACTCGCTAAAATGGGTTCTTTTCAACATAGTTAGAGTGCATTCCGTACAAACCAAATGTAAACAAGGGATGATTTGAACGTAAATGTCAACACGCACTTGTTTTGTTCGAAAGTTAGATACGCATCGATTTATTTGTAATGACTTCACAACACAGCAAAGAAAATGCTGTTGAGCTTACCTTAGCATTCAAGTTAAAGTGAGAAATATCTTGATACGTTTGATGCTCCAAAGAAACCGGCGACAACCGAGCGATATTATAGAATGCAGAAGCTCTGAGAATTTGTCTACTAAAAAACCAAACATTTGATATTCTTAAGAAGTTTGAAAGAACCTTTCGGCGAAAATTGCGTGAAAATTTTTGACTGCCAGGCATTAAGTCTATTTGAGACCGTGCCCAGCTGCCGGGCATTCAGTCACTGCGAAAATTAAAACTAAGAGATAAGTTATTTTCAAAAAAGAGTTAACTTTTGATAGCTTCGTTTTAAACTTTAGATAACTGAACGAAAAAACCCTCGAAGTGGTACAAGATACCAGGGTAACTAAATTACTATAGGAACGGACAATGACGTCTTATCTAAATTTATCCGATACGCGTGGCAGGTGCGGTTACACGTCGCTGATCGCTGATCGCTGATCGCCGATAGCTATTGTTAAAATTATTGCTTATGAACATTGTCAGATTTGGAAATAAAAAATGTGCTGACGCACTCCACACACGTGGGCACCACACTTCTTATTTCTATGGCGAAGTAACAATTGTCTAAGAGTGAAGAGGAGAAGCTCTCTGTAACGGAAGCATTTCTGGGGTTTGGAATGAAATTTCCGATACATAATGAATAATATGAGAAAAAATATTGCATCTGACCTTCACATCTCTTGTGCAAAATAGGAAAAGACGAACAACCGATAATACCGTGAGCCCAAATTTTTGTTTTGTTCTCATGAAATACGATGCTCGCAAAAAGACCATACATGTAATCTATCTTTTCGCGCAGTAGGCAGTTTTCCTAACCGAGTACCGCATGTTACCCCAACTCACCTCAGACCTTATCATTTCAGAAACAAAACATTTTTGTGTTTGAAATAGGTTCTTGTTGAAAAATCTTGACTGTTTCTATTTGACGCAATTCGAGTAGAGTCTGATTTGAAATCCCTTGGTGCTCTATCTAATTCATCTTTGTGACGGTTACGAATGTATGTTTGAGCCACCGCGGACTTCTTCTTGTTCTGGAAACGCTTCAAAGAATCGTATACCTTTCCGGAGTCTTAAACTTTGAGCACACGTAGTTGCTCTGGAGAATTCGAAGCTACCGATTAAAGCAAATACAGCACTACAAGAATAGATCGGCGACAATTCCTCGTTTTAACATTAACTATCGAACAGAAGAGCTTCTGATTATATTCTCACGCTTTGAAGACTTTTAATTGCTGCCGTGTTTATTCGAGTGATATGAAGTAAAATAGCGTGATTGTCTAATCCAGGTCACGCTTGAAGGCACATGTCGTGAGCACATCATGATTTCAATCATGCAAATAAGCCACATTTAACATACGTTGCAGCCACTAGGCACAAACGAATAAGAGGTTCCTGGAGGTTTTAAAATAAAAATAATTTCAATATCGTTGCATTCTCAGTGACTGAAATTGAACTTTAACGTTCAGTTATCTCTAAAAGTACAAGGCTTAATGAAATGGATTTGTACAAACCTTCCTGCTTTCCAAATCAGTCAGGTGCCAACTCCGATAGTTTATTCGTTGTAAAATCAACCGACACACTGAAATTTAAGGTGGCGCTCATTTGTAACGATGAAGTTTCGCGTAGCTAAAATGCACAGCAATTTCAAATTGAATGAATTAAAACTATAGACAAATCTTCAATCCAAAACGATATCGAAACAGATATTTGCTTTCACTAAGTAAACACGAAAGCTACTACAAATTTTCGTTTCCTGTTAACTGAGCCTTGCTTCTTCAATTTCTGTTCACTCGCTACAGTCACTGCACCTCCAATTTTCCATCTTGTGTTCAATATATGGAGAGATTGGAGGTTCATATCCAAA